GCCAATGACTAACCAGTTGATTAACTCTAGCTCGATCGATGCTTCTCCACTCATTGCCCTTTCACTGGATTCACAGGTGGCTAACCACCTTTTCATTGATATGCAAAGACATTAAAGGCTAGTCACCCCGACACTGTCTCTCTGTCTGATTCTACTCCATCCTCCAGTTACGTTCCTTCACCGTCCTTGAGGGGTATGCATTCCGTCGGCATGAAAAAGAGTTGGTGAAAGGTTTGGACTTCTCTCATCCCGCTTCACTTAAAATAAATAAGGAGTCTTTCAAATAGCTCCCAAAAATAGAGGGGAAGTAATATTATGAGTTGGTTGCGATCGACGATTCAATCTGCTAGACACCTCGATAGACTTGTTTTCCAATTCTGACCAAATCGAGGGGAACCCACCGGTCTTGGTGGAAATGACTTGTTCTAAGAGCTTCGACACGACCCTGAAAGAAAATGATCCACCATGAGATCATGAATCACTCAGCCCGATTCCATCTGATGGCGACACAAGTGGCCCCTCTTTAGAGGTAGACATTGGATAAGTCTGAGATCTCCTTGACATAATCTCACAATAAATTTGTTTTGCTTGAAGTAAACCTCCAAAGGGCTCAAGATAATAGAGATCTCCTCAAACTCAAGGTAGCTGTTTTTGTCGCCGAGTTGAAGGATTCAAACGATATGATTGATATTCTGATAGAGGAAACTAGGCAGCTGAAGGAGAGGGTTGCATCATATGTTTCAAACGAAGAACATATGGTCAAACTGACAAAAGAATTTTGACAAAGCATGGATTATGCAACCAAAATATTTATCCACGATGACTTAGTTGACGCCAAGTTTTCTAAGCTAGACGATTTTGCAGCCCTCATACATGACAAGGCAACAGACTTCTCTGAGGATGAAGAAACTGAAAATTTTGGTGAGGAGTCTGAAGAAACTGAAAGTTTTGGTGATGATAGAGATGATCAGTCGATAACACGATGAATCGTGGACTTTCAAAGCTTGTAATTTTTTGAAGAAGTGTCGAAAGAAAAAAAATATAAATAATTTTTATAATTGCTTTGTATATATAAAAATCTTTCATTCGACTTTATCTTTCGCATTTATGTTGAATTGTATGTGATATGGTACATCTTTCGATTGTTTGCTCATCTCGAAAGTGTCTCAATCATGTTTATCAACCGATGCAGATTAATTATTCTCCATCATGATTGTTCGATCAATTTTTGCCTCTCGGAGAGACTCGTATCCGAGGTAATGTTTATAACATGGATCATGTGGTTGGTAGGTTGAATCACCTTCAGAGTTAAATCCCGAACTCAGATGGGAGTAATTCGACATTGATCGGCTGCAATTTTTATATTGAAGTGGAGGAATGCATCTGGTATTATTCAAAGTGATTTTGAATGGTGATATACATAGGGATGTTATTATTATAATTCAAGTTGGTTAATTGAGGTGGAGGAATGCATAGAGCCTTGTTTGAAGTGGTGGTGATATAGATTGGGATGTTATGAGTGGAATTCACGTTGGTTGTTTGAAGTGGAGGAATGCATCGATTGGGTCCATTGTTTAATATGATGGTGATATAGATGTGTGAGTTATTATTAGAAGTTATGTTGGATGGTTGAAGTGGAGGAATGCATCAGGACTATTGTTTAAAGAATAAATCATTTTGAAGAGGTGTCTTAAATATGGTTGACAAAGTAGTGTCGACTTCATCGAATGATGCAAGCCACTTTAAAGAGGTTCTTGAGGTTATTTTCTTCAATGAGAAGCATAATCTTCCATTATTAATATTGATAAGTATTGACTTTTTTAATTTTTTGCAATAGTTGCACTGATATGCAAAGCCACATCTATGTTGCAGATGAATATTCATAATTTGAGAGCTTGGATGTATAAAATATTATATCCAATATGAAAAAGACTCACTGAAGAGTTCTTAAATGGTGTTGAGGAACTCGTGCATGTGGCGTCACAGCTGGCCTTTGATCGTTCTGAGGGAAATACAGGTTTCCTTGTGTGAAACACAAAAATCAAGTGTGTCTGCAACCCAAAGAAGTTAAGTTGGATCTTTACTGCAAGAGATTCAAATCTAATTATTGGTACTGGACTGGACATGGTGAGCAAGAATCAGAAGTTCAATTCGATCAAAAAGGTGTCTAAATAAGTTATGCCCCGCTTACAGAGGAGTATGATTCTGACACATATGAAGAATGGTTCATGATGCTCAAAGAGCTCAATTTGTTGGGAGCGTTCAACGCGACCCGAAACACCGAACAACGAATCACAATAGTTATATGACTTATTGAACGTTGCACAACAACCTTTTATGGAATATTTGCACAATGCATATAGAGTTATCAGTGGCACTGAGAATGTTGAGAATAAACTCCAATTTTAACTTACCCAGAGAAACATCCATTCAGGTAGCAACGTTATTGAAAGAGACGAACCTTGCAGGGAATTTATTATCAAATTACTTGTAAAGAACTAAAAAGTTAGTTTCAAAGTTAGGGTTTAAGTCTGAGAAGATCAATTGATGTGTTGATGGGTGCATAATATATTACAAGGTTGATGCAGTCAAAACGACTTACCAATTTTGTGGTGAGTCAATTATAAGGAAATCCCCCATGTAGGGGAATTGCTTTCACCTTTTTCTCTGGGTGACCATTAGTGGAATTATTCCTTGAGCTTCCTTTCTCTCTCCCAAAAAGGCCATAAAATGGGCCGAAAGTGCCACTAACTAGTTGGCACTAAGACTCAACTTGTCAAACACCGTCCTGAATACTATGTTCACAGAGCTACCGTATCAACCAAAATACTCCATACTTGATAGTTGTGTTTGCCATTGTTACGACAACAACATCGTTGTAGGGATTTTCCTTTGAGGGTAGATCAATTTCAATGAACGTGATGGGAGGACAACTTCCTCTCTTTTGCATAGAAGAGACACCACATAGTTCCCTTAATTGAGACCTTCTCTAGAAGGCTCACTGGGATGACTTGCTTCCCGTGAAAATGACTAAGACAATTTCAACAATATGAACAACATTCGTCTGAATAAGCTAGTTCAGTACTTATATAACAGGGGACTTTGCATGCCTCTACATCATAGCTTCTGGGTGCTACAAACTACTTCAACTTCCTGGCCTGATCAATTCAATGTATACATCCTCCTTGTCGTGGTCGTGATCCCAATGATACATGAAGGAAAGCTCAAATCTTCATCGGTGGTGCCTTCTTGAAGTACTCCTTGTCATGAATGACCCTCTCTATCTCCACCATAGACACACTCAATTGAGTGGGCCAAGGACCATCATAATCATCCAGTTGATGCTCATAATGCCTATTGTATTGTTGATCCAGTCGCTCATAGTACTGGGCTAGTCACTGGTCGTGACTCCTTGCTTGACCACCTTGATTGTTTGTTTCGGTCAGTTCGCCCTATTATCACGAGGTGTCCTAGTGTCTTCATGTCGGAGATGGACGAACGATTATAGATTTTATTTTGCCCTCCACCCAATGTTTTACGGGGGTCTATTTTGGAAGCAACATGTTGACAGTTTGGCTCGACGACATTCTCGCAGGCGTTAATCTTCTTATTGGCTATCTTCAGCAATTCAAACAAACTCAAAGGCTCCACTAGGCTGACGTCAAAATAAAACCTCTCAAACTTTAGGCCCTGTGTTAAGACTCCTTGGGCCATGCGAGGTCCCAAATCATTCACATCCAACATATCCCTCCGGAACCACAAAATGAATGAGCGCAATCTTTTGTTTGGTCCTTGTTTAAGCTACCACAAAAATTACACGCTCTTCTTTGGCCTCTGGGGGCTTGCAAACTGTGACAAGAAAAGTCTCTTGAAGCCAGAAAAATAAGTAATCACTCTGATTGGTATTAAATTAAACCACCTCAGAGGTGATGATCTTAGAGTGGTGAGAAACTATTGGCATTTTAATGCATCAGAAACCTTCAACAGACACATTGATGATTAGAATGAAGCAAGGTGTCATTGGGATCTAACTGATCCTCGCAAGCTTCTAGCACCGGATGTTTAAACTTCTCTGGGGGTTCAACCCCTGAGATTTGGAGGGAGAACGCGTTCTCCAGTAGCTGTGGTGTCTCAATACACTTATATAATTGTCTTCCCATATGTGCAGACCCAACTCTATCGTGGTACTGTGAATCTCCGACCCTCTTTGGGCAATGGTTCAGTCTTCTACCGTAGTGCACCAACACCGCCTCTCATGGAGGGTTCTGCCCCCGAGAAGCACGTTCACTCCCAAGAGCCACAATAGGACTCAAGACCCCCGACACCTGATTTGCTATCTGGGTTCTTAACTCCTGCTTCTTCCGCTGCATGAACTCCTCCATGAATTCTCTGGTACATTCCACGTTAGCTATGTCCCTCTAGTGGTTTTTCTCTTGTGTTGTTTTTCTCTTCTTATTGACGATATGAATCAACGCTCACTCCACCTTTCAGGATTTTACATCCAAAATTGTTTGGGCGACACACCCAAGGAATAAAAATGTAAAAGAGAAGAAAATAGTAGAGAGAGAGAGAACACAATAATGAACTTTAAAATTATAAGCAAGTGGTTGACTTATTTTTACCATGTATCTCTAGTAAAGTAAGGTTAGTAAGATGTATTTTTAATAATAATACAAAGAAAGCCCTGAGCTTTCTCGTAGGGGGTATTTTCGATAATGCACATAAATGAGGGCGGGAGACTGAGAAGGCACCCACCCGGCCGGGTGCTTGACCCGGACGACCATTATTTGGCGGCCGGTAGACTAGCACGGGCAAACTATCTCATCCATCCGGTCTCGGCTGGGTGCTTGACCCGGGCGACCATTGTTTTGGCGGCCGGTAGACTAGCACCGGCAAACTATCTCATCCATCCGGTCTTGACGAGTGATTGAAGTTGTGCCAAAAATTAGATCAGAGAATCCTTTGAATGGATCGCTGAGTGAAGTTAGTTATGAGGGCTGGATTACGCCCGGTTGGTATGAGCCGCATGAACATGTGTGTGCCCTTGAGTTACTCCTTGGGAGCCTGCCCTAACGCATCATATGAAACAGAAGGTTTTTAAGATTGACGCTGACATATTTTTGACTAGCTTGCCCCTCACGAGTCATCCGATTTTACAGTGTTTGGATACAGCTCCTGGCACGACTACACTGGATCTTTGAACGCAAATTTGTTTGAAGGCCGAGGACCGCTCTCGGGTCTCAGCCAATCGGGCATGTTTCCATCAGGCGAAGCCACGATCGCTTGGAGCAGTTAGCCATTAAGTTATTCCCGGCCTCCGCGTTGTGGCGGCAATTCGCCGGCGATGGGGGTTTCGGTCTCTCTGCTGCTGAGTGCCGGCAGCATCTCCTTTGTGGGCGCCGTGTGTTTTGCAGCTGGTTACCTTTTGTCCGCTCACTCTATCCGTGCCCCCAATCATTCCGACGACGATGACGATGACGATAATGAAAATCTGAAGAAGAGGAGCATTAAAGGTGCACAGAGGCTTCTCTTCTATATCCAAGATGTGGTCCGGGGAAAGGCTGGTGACAAGAGGAACACAGACGCGATGAAGGTGGTGGCTCAGAAAAGCAAGTATAAGAAGCCTACTCTCCTTGAGATAGAAAGCCTCGCGGAAATCCTCCAAGACTTCAAAATGGTAAAATCTGAATCCATTCTTCTGCTGTTTTTTTCTTGATTTGGTTTTATTCCCCTTCTGCCATTCTTACTTATCAGTTCTGATTTTCACCACATTTTCCCTTGATATATCGACTAAGTAGCATGTTTTAACTAAAATAGAGATTTTAGTAATATTTCTGGTCTATCATCAGTCCCTGAATGAAACAGATAAGATCGTGTTGATAAAGTAGTCAACTTTAAAACGATATATTCTTTTTGAAAGATAATAGGTATGCGGGTATGCGCATTTTCATACGTGGCACAAATTTCTCATTGCAGGTGCTTGTTGTTAGAAACGATTTGAAGATGGGAAAAGGGAAGATTGCTGCTCAGTGCAGGTAGATTTTAGTCTACCCGCTCTCAATGTAAATTATGCTTTGAATTGACTTTCTATAACAGTTCAACTGTATTGCAGAGGATGTTTTATATTTGTGAAATCAGTGTGAAAAGCTTGTTTCTTGCTTAAGAACTTCATTAATGTGATCCGAGAATTTATAGGGTTGAAGTTTAATTGACAGATGTTAGAAAATGTTTGGGTGATTCATTCCATTCATTTGGGGAAGACAGTTTTTAGCACTGTGGCATTGTTTCACCTTGGCAGGTGTATTAGGAAGAGCTACCTATGATGATCTTAGTGTTGACAGCGCAACCATGTTTGTGAGTGGAACCAATGCAGCTACAGCATGGCTAGAAAAATTTTTGAGTATTGCTCCGTTAATTTACTTTGTCTGAGCCTTAAATGAGCAAAATACAGCGCTGAAATGCTAATTGTCTTACATCTATACTGGGCATGCTTTTTCCTTGCGTTTGCTTGGTTTGGACTGAGGGACTGTACTTTTTAGATATTATTGGACGGGCAAATTGTATATTTCATGCAACAAAACAAACATGGTGCACTAACTCGGAAGACTATCAATACAGGCTAATTAAGGAAGGTTTTTGCTTTCTGAAGACCACAGAAATTTTCTAAGGTGATATGTGGAGGTTCTGGAGCTGGATTTGAGCTGGGACACTCAACTCAGAATATTGTAAGCTGAGGAAGTGGGAATAAAACAACACAATATGTATAGAAAGCAAATCCCATTCATTTATGTTTTATGTTTCTTTTGATATTGATACTAGCTAGCTTGATATTCATTGCATCATGAACCATTTTGAGAAAATTCCTAAAGGACATGATAATAATGGTGGAATTAGAAGGATATGTGGTATAATAGAGTGATATCTGTTAGTCTTGATGCTGTTATTGGAATCAGCTAATTTTGTGCTCATTCTTAATCGTTAGTTACAAGATCTTTTTCATCACTGTTATTGGAATCATCTAATTATGTGCACATTCTTAACCGGTAGGTACATGATGTTTTCCATCAATTGACATTTATCTTTATTGTAATTGATCCCTCAGTTATTCTATTATGAATGCTTCTCCCACAGAGAAATGTTGAGGACTGTGCTTTTTTAAATATGAAGTGGGATCTCACATATTGATAACCATTCGGCTTGAATCTTGATTTTCCTACTCAGGATTTAGGCTTAATGCCTCAATTGTGATTCAAATTACTTTGAGAGTTTTGTTATTTAAATCATCTACGTGATATGATTCACCATGTTTACATGGAACTTTTGTTTGGAACATCAATGAACTATGGTAACAACTTTTTGATTGAGTTATAGGAGTATTAGATGTCAATAGCTCAACTAAATGAATAAGTTATCGGTACGACTGATTTTGATTTTATTATTTTCAGAAAATTCACAATACAAAATTTAATTGATTAGTTTTTAAGCTAGTTTACAATATAAGGAAAGATGGAAGACCAAAATACAAAAGAGCTCTAATAAGATAAATAAAAGTGAACAGAAGGACGCTCTAAGTGTTCTTTTCCATGGAATCTTGCTTCGATGCTTTCTTGGAGGATGTGGTTGAGGCGATTACGTGAGCAACCCTTTATTTTTGGTACTGCATGTCTATATGCGCTCGAGCGATGGCTATGAGGCATGCAAACTACCCTGCAAAGGCCAAATGCACGGGCCATCTAACTTACCTTCACCATCTATGGATAGATTTGGATTCAACAATGTTCAATATTGTGGCATGAAATTTGCATTAAACATTATGCATAAGGATAAATCTCAAAACTTTCAAGTAGTTGCGCTTCATCTTTAATTGGTTGGGCTGAGGGAGATGTAGCTTTTGGGCAAATATCATCAGCCAAATGTCAGGCAAACGTGGGTCATAATTTTTTGAAGCAGCAATGACCAACCTATCATTTGAAGACTTGTTTTTCCTTATATTATTTAATCTTTATTTTATTGTGCTTCTATATATCTTTGCTAAAAGTATTCCCTTAAGTCTGTCAACAAAATTTTTATGATTTTTGTTGTTATTTTGTTATGGATATATGCAATTACCGATTGGCTTTTTTATTTTTATTTTTATTTTCTTCGGTTATGACTTCAATAGTTGACTTATTTTTATCCTAGAAAGTGCCAATTTTTTTCACAAATAGGACTCAAAATCAAGTAGAAAAAATTTTGGATGAGGAAATATTAAGCAAGTTTTTTCTAGAGTGGCTATCGGTGCTTTGAGATGAGTGCAATATAAGTTCCACATGAATTGCACTCATGTTAATGCAAATCTAAAAACTGTGAGACCTATCCTGGCCAAACAAATGGTTAGGATACTCTGAATCAATTTTTTTTTAATCGAGTAGCCCCTGTGGTTAACAACATTTGAAATTTAAAATTTAAAATATGTTTGTGGATAGATTTGGTTTTAACTCGAGCAAATCCCAAATTTTGTTCTCTTTAGGAGTCTTATTAGACTTCAATGCTAATAGGCTTACACGCTCACTATCAATTCTTAAATTGCCTTGATTTGCATATTTTGAATTTAAACCTGGATGGCCCTGATTCGAGTGATTTACTTTATTACATGCTATTAGGGCTTGTGATGAATCTTTTGATTTTATCCATCTTACTCACTGTCAATACTTTTGTTCCTCTTAGCAATGACTTAGCAATGAAATCGTCCATTCCTTTCAATGTTAATACATTTGTTCCTCTCCATGTCGTTAATTCTGTAATTTCTTCTGATACCATCATTGTTTGTTGCATCTTCAGTTATTACTTCTGCCATATTCTTCTTCCCTTGCTGCGTCTGCCCTTTCACTCTTCCTTCCCCAAGAATGTCATCGGCTCTCCTTTTCTGCAGAAAAGTAAACTCGTGTACAACATGAGCTTGAGATTTCTTTCTTTTTTGTTTAAATTTCTCTGTTAATTAGAACATTTAGTAAAGCTAATACCGTGCTAATATTCCTTTTTATCATTGCTATTTGCTACTCACAGTGATAAACTAAAAAAATTAGTTTATGGGTGTGTAGATTTCTTTCGTTGTTGTTTAAATTTCTTTGTTACGTAGTTCATTTAGTAATGCTAATATCATGCTATTAGTTTCGTTTTGTTTTTTGATGCTATATAAACTCATAGCTACAGTGATAAACACTAACCATTGCTGGTCATCACACAAATTAAAATCGGGAAATCTGGCTCTTAAAAATGTAACAGCTCAGAACTTGCTGAACTATAACTTACTGAAGAATTGATCTTTATATTGAGATAATTTTTAACAAGCTATCTGCTTGAAGCATTTTATTTGCTTAAATCTCTCTAGTACGCTGGGTTCATTTGGTGATGTTGTGTTGCTGTTAAGTTGCGTAACTTGATAGAAAATTAAGTTACTGTCACTCTAATATAGACGGACAAGCTGTCTTGCAATGTCCACGGTTGTAAAGCCATGGAGGTGGACATGAACTATAATTTTCAGTCACATATTTCTTCCCAAATTAGCACTGTGGAATCTGGTTTAAAAAGAAAAGCTATTGAAAAATTTTCCAACTAAGCCTCAGTTATGAATAAAATTTTCAGATGAACTATACGCTCAATGGAAATATCTGCTTGGAGCCTTACATATGCTTAGATTGTATCACTCTACTTGCACCACACCTATAGTAGTCTTATTTTCTATCTGTTCTTCCATTTTTACAGTCCTCCGTCTTTCTTTGTTTTTTTTGTCCCCTTATATTTTGTGATTTTTTTCGTTTGCAAAGCTGTGTCTTCACTGCGTCCTTTGAAAAAAAAAAAAGTCACACCGCAAAAGACAAGGAAAAATAATAATAGAGTGATAAGTTGTTGGTCTTCTTGATATGTAAAACATGTACATACAATTATCAAAATTGCCCATTTGGTGCTCTTTAAATCTCTCTGAAATGGAAGCCTACTTCGAGTGTGTGACTGCATATTGGTTGCAACAAGTGTGGTGCTGTTACGTAAAAGCTAGCAGGCATGAACGTAAATTGTATATATCGTCTCAATGAACAAAAAGGAGAAAAAACTTTGATTTTTTTTTAATTTGTGGAGGAAAACCTGAATTGCTTGGAGTGCCCTGAATTTCAAATAGCATATATATATATATATATAGAGAGAGAGAGAGAGAGAGAGAGAGAGAGAGAGAGAGAGAGAGAGAGAGAGAGAGATTTATCCTCCTATTTAAATTTTGATGCACGACTCTAAAGTGTAACCTGTTAGCCTTTATTAATAGTTGAAACCAATGAACTGTATGATTTTCTGCATTTATAAGAACTACTGATTATCTATCAGGTGCTGGGAAAGTTTCTCCATGACTGGTTTGCCTTGCATGAGAAGAACTTGATGGTTTTCATAGGATATTCTTACAAATGAATTGAAGTTGAATAGTTGGATTATTAATAATGTTTATAGCATGTTTAATAATTTGGATTGGTTACGTGCTTGAGTAAATGTGAGTTTCTCAGACCAACTTGTAATTGCCACCTGATTATCATTGCTTTTTACAAGTTTAACTCGTGCATGAAACATGTTTTATCATTGTTTTGTGGCGATTTTACTATTCATAGGCATGTGAAGAAAACATGGATGACCAGGCAGTATATGTATAAGCCCTTTTAAAAGTCTAATTGTACTCATATTTTAACAATCAAAATTTTCTAGAATATGTAAGATGCCGTAATAATCCATTTGATTCCAGCTATTTGAAAGTTTCTACACTTAAATATCTCAATTATCTTCTCATGCAGTTAGAGTCATCCATGTAAAAAAAAATTGATGTTCTTGATTGGTGATCAAATGATCTTAGAAGTTAATCAAATAATATAGGACACTAGTTTAATGATAATGATAATGAAAAATTTTGATCTTATTTTTGAAGGGCATAATTCTCTGACCAAGAATTTTGTAATATATAGGGCTAAACTCCATAATAGTTCTTTGTCCATTGGCCAAGTTAGTTTAAAAGTATCATATTTATCCAATTTACTCGTTCCTATACAAAATTCACCCTAGATGGTTCTTCAGGGACTAAATTAGGATCAATTTCATATAATCAAGGGGACTACAGTGAGATCAACTTGTATCACATGTTCTATTGTAGGGACTGTTTTGGATTAATTTTGTGAAGTGAGGAATCAAATTGGAGAACTATGAAACTTTGGGATTAAATTTATCACACACATACTCACAATCAAAAACTATGACTGGCTAGAATTTACCGCTAAAAGACATCTCTGAGATAATTTTTACACGACTAATGAGTTTTGATTACTTTAAATTGTAGTCATTTAAAATTTTTAGTGGAGGGAGAATGTTGTGGAAGGATAATGAGCTTAATCATTCTAAAATAATAATAGCCTATCTCTCCCTGTCTCTCTTATATAAGGATTCACTTTTTCTAGTGTAACTTACGCTTACTTAAGATTAGTTGTCTCAAGAGTAAAGAGGAATTCATGAAGTCTGCACTTTCCCATGAATTGTTACGAGTAAACTCATCTCAAGGACGATGGTGGTTTTTATTCAACATAGAAATATTTTAACTTTCTTATGTGAAAGCATGCTTGCCAAGGACAGTAATTTTTTTTTAAAAAAATCAGACTGTTTTACGTATGGAATTAAATTTCACTGATGAAATTTGAGCAGATGCTGTTTCACTGATTCATTTTCTTTGTTGTTGCTCACTTATTGGCTACATGAACATCGTTATTTATTCCATGATTAAATGTATAACCAGAATGCCAACATTATACACTTCGCTGTTTAGTGCTGAACTTGCTTTCTTTAGTACTAATACTTTTTTTCTGTGTTGTTATTTTGAAAGCCATGCAACTTTGGGCTTGTATAAAAAACTCCATAACAGAGCACCCAAAACTTTAAACAGGTATAACCGTAATCTGCATTGCAGTCCTTTTGCATTTAATTATCTAATTCCCTCTGCTGTAACATACTTTTTTGAATTTTGGAACTTTTAAATATTGTTATTTATGTGGCTCTTTTGCTTTTTATTTTGTGTAATTTTTTTCGCAGGTGGGAAATGTGTGGACAGGTTAAGGTGGTTTTGAGAATTGAAAGTGAGGAAGATATGCTTGTTTTACAGGTATGTTGATTTTTATAACATTCCAACGAACATGCTAGTGTTCTTATTCACATATGGTGTTCTATAATTTTCTGACCCATATAAACTATGAAGTGACCTATATGCATTTGCATTTTTCTTTGATATCTTGCGGACTTAGTTGGCGTAAAATTTTAATACAAAAAAACTATTGTTGGATTTTGGGTGACATCATAAGGAAACGCCATGTACCAAGCACAGATGCTTGAAAATAATTATGTAAAATTAGACGATAAGTTGATTATTAATTATCTCTGAAATTGTTGAAATAGTTGAGGTTCAACAATCTTGCACGGTAGACAATGAGAATTTTTTGAGACATACAAGACAAAAATACAAATTGGACATAACACAATAAAAAAATATATAAATAAATTATATATATATGTATGGATACATGTATGTATGTATACATACACAAACACACACACATATACATAAATACATACATACATACATATATATATCTATATGTATGTATGTATGTATATGCGCCACGTACTCAAATCAGTTGGTCGGACATCTATTTGTCAGTTGTAAGTCCCCTTTGGTCTGGGGTTCGATTCCCCCTGAGCGTAGGGTGTGGTATTCAAATTTTTAGGCGCATGAGGTATGACTGAGACTCGTATAATAGCCTCTCACCATTCCTTTATGTATATATATATATTTATATATTTATATATATATGTGTGTGTGTGTGTGTGTGTGTTATTTTGATGTCGTCTCCCACACTCGGCTCTGCTAGGGTTTCGACCCATGTCGAACCCTAGCAACTCTTATCTTACCGCAAGATCATTTCTCCAACGTCGTGTCTCCTCTCCGTCGGTGCCGTCTCTCCTCTCGCGTTTCGTCGTCTCTCCTCTCGCGTCTCGTCGCCTCTCTGACAGAGTTCGCTTCTCTTCGTTCTGTTCGATTACATCTCACGGAAGACGGGAAGGGGTCGCCTCGTTTCCTCCTTTCGTCTTCCTTCTCGACTCAGCTCGACAGCTCGACTGTACCGAGTTTTGGTCTCTTCGGTTTCTGACCCACCCTACTTGACCCTCTGCCGGACTTGCAAGGCTTCTCTTGCTGTGATGGAGCTTCCTTCTTCTTCGATTGAACCTGACAAAGCCTCCTTTGCCCATGTGGTGGGTAATCCTCAAGTGAAGACGACGGTTATCTTCCCCTCAAGTTATAAGGTGTAATGGGATGGTACAGGTGATTTCCTCTTTATCAAGATTGCAAGCAAGTGGAAAACAACATTTTTTCTCTGAGCTAGAAATTTCATCCCTGATTGATAAATTCAAGTTTGTTCTTATTGGAAAATTTCAGTGGAGACACCCACTTATGGATGTTATCAAGAAAATTTTTGACGATCTCAAATTAGCAGGAAAGTAGAAAGTGGGGCTCATGGATGGGAGACACGTATTAATTCAACTAACCGTGCCTGAAGACTACACTGAGATTTTTTCCAAAAAATATCTCAACATTGCTGGTAAACCAATGAAGCTACTCAAGTGGTCTCCTGATTTTGACCCCAAGCGCGAATCTCTTACTGTATCGGTATGGTTTAGTCTACCTAGTCTCAAGCTGCACTTTTTTCATTATCAGTTTCTTTACTCTATTGGTGTCATACTTGGGGACCCTTTGAAGCTTGATCTACCTACTTTTAACCTAACCAGACCTTCTGTGGCCAGAATATTTGTTGAAAGAGATAGCTAGATTACTTGTGAAATAAAATATTACTTTACCTGACGTTACTGAAGTCTGGTTGGGCATAACTCATAATGGATATTGGCAACAATCGTCCTAGAGAATAGACCGTCTTACTGTTCTCATTGTAAGATGTTTGGGCATACACTTAATAAATGTCATAATAAGTTTATCATAAGTTTAATCATAATTTGAAATCTAAAGATCAAGTGAATAAGAATGGATCTAATCCCACTACTCTGGACATATCTTTTCCATCTAGAGAGAAAGCTATCACAGGACAACTTTTGGATATCGCTAAAGATCAGCCACCTACCATCCCTGCTGAGAAGGTGCAAACCGATCCTTTACCCAACATCGTAGTTCCTGATGAAGAACATCATACTATAGGTACAGATTTAAAAGAGCTTATATCACTCACTGTTATTGAAGAAAACTCTCTTACATGCTAAGACACGCGAGAGTATTTCTTTGATTCAATCAAAGATCAGCTGGTACAACAAACTGTTACTTCTAATATTCAACATCCTACATATGTCCGACACACTTTAGACCAATTCACTGATCAGGAGAGCCAATCTTTGGATGAAGAATGACAGGTCTATTTCAGGAGGAAGAAGAAGACTGGAGGCCGACTCGAGCTTGGAACCTTATTGGATGATACTTTGGTCACTACTGACAATGACACTCATCTTACCAATTTATTATTTGGCTTCTTTCCTAGAAGTAGAGGTAGAGGCAAAGGAAAATTGGGTCGCTCTCTAGCTACTTGATACTACGTTTTTTTGGCTTTTTTTATTTTGGTATATTGTATTTTTCCGTGTTTTCTCTTTTTTTTGAAACCTTTTGTATGTGATGATTATCGTGGGGGACGGGTGTCATGCTTGGGCTCTTCCACACAATCTTGATGTATCTTTATTTTCTTTTAATATATTAGCCTTTGGGCTTTCTCAAAATTAAAAAAATAATGTCGCAGGCCCCCTCATTTACTTCAATTAATGCTCGGATCTTCCATCTTGGTCTTCGGTCAAGGATTCGCGATCTAGTGAGTACTAACTAAATCATTAAAGGGTCATTAACATACATACCACTTAATCTTTACCTATATATATATATATATATATATAAGACCTAAATGCTGTTATTTTCTCATCATAACTCCGTCTTTTTCCGTGTATATTACTCTAGTTAACAATGAATTTTTTTTAAGTTGCATCAATATGAACCAACACCCTCTACCACCTATTATCATCTTCTTCCAAATTTAAAAATTGTTCATATTTTATGGACAACGTTCTTGCAGGCAAAGTGACTTTTGGGTAATGTCAGTTAAGTTGATGCATGTTGGATGATTTCTTGAGGAGTTAGTGAAGGAAGCGAAAGTTGAGGATTGGAGAAGGAATTATATTAACCGGTCATGAAAGAAGGTAGAGGGATTAGTGATTCAGATTTTCACCTGCTTACGGAAAAATAACAAAGATGAGAGGGGTAATTTGTTTTCGAGCTTTATTTTAGTGAAATATGAACTTTACAAGAGCTGAGAAGAAACTTGGGAGGAATCTCATGAAAATAAAAGGGATGAACCTTTTTTCTGGAGAATTTCATGGGAGCGCTACCATATATAACATCTACTTCGCCAAAAGGAGATGGGAAGTGGCCCATCTGAGATATTTTGCTTGGTATACGTCAGAGAGGTGGTTGTTTAGATTTTTGTCGCAATTTCCTACATGGTAGTTTTGGTGAACTTAAAATGTTTTTGTGGTATGGTAGTCAGTAACAAAGTTTTTGGTGTATTTGCAGCTCTAGTTTATTGATTTCAATGTGAAAAGCACCAGGAATAATTTTTTTTAATATTTAAAATAATCAAAGTATGAACAGCAGATTCACCTTTACAAATATTAAAAAAAATTTCAAATAAAAGTCTTATTCAATTAAATGAAAATAAATTTTCTAATTATTAGTAAATAAATGATACTAACCTTTATCAACATAGAAAGCCATTATTCAAACTCTATTCCCATACCCCAAAAAAGAACCTTAAATGCTTAAAAAGTGCAGTTATGTCGCTCCCACATTGGACGCTTATATCAGAATTTCCTTTTTAATGGGTAGTATCTGACATTTATTTTCCATGTTAATATGGGCTGGTCACATGTTCTGCTCGTATTTGTGATGTGTGCTAAGCATTTCATGCCCTTATATTTTAATGCATCCACACATCCTGGTGTAGTTATATCCTGAATGTTATGTTTGCCCAAATATGGAAGCAAATCCCCTCTTTTACGTATCTATGATAGAGTACAGGGATATCATAAACATTTTCAAAGGAGAGTTACAATCGATTAATGCAAAACTGGGGCATATACATACTTATCTCCCATTTCCCATGTATTTACATATCTAACACCTACAATTTATTTTTCACATTTATATCATCGGATTCTTTCAACATAGCTCATAAAAAATGTCACTGTTTTAACTTTTAAAAAGTGAAATACTCATTTTTGTGCATAGGTACGGTTGGTATATATGTAAAAATCGAATTTGAGATGTTAGATATGTAAATACATGGGGATTCACCAATTGAGTGGTATTTATGTAAATCTTCTAAAATTCAAATTGCTAGTGTTTTACTTAAGAAATTTGTGCTCATATAATTTCCGAAGTTTCTCAGGAAAGAGCAAAATCCTTGAAGCTGCCAACCCATATAACCATTGATGCCGGAAGGACTCAAATTGCACCGAGTAAGTCGTGAAAGAGTTTCTTTTCTGCTATTCTCTGACCTTCTGTCTCTTTGTCACTTGTTTTGTGTTATTTTCGGCAAAGCAATATAATTCCATCTTACCTGAATGCAAAAACCCTACCCACTTAAACAAACATTGCGTTAACTTGACTTCTTGCTACCACAATTTATAATTTCCTTTTAACAAATACCGGTTAATCTATTTTCATTTCATCAATGACTTTATATCAGAATAGCAAATAAGATCTGATTGTTTATCATTTCTTGCAGATTCAAGGACAGTGATGGCCATTCTTGGTAAGTCGTTTGCTTATTTTAATATTTCATGATTTTTCATTTAATTGAGATCTGTGGCCTGTTTTTGGTTGGGGTGGCATTTCTTGTTAACGATTTAGGTACTCTAGATGAATTTGTTGAGGGAATTTTGTTTAGTTTATAAAACTGCCAGAAGTACAATAACATAGCTAGGGATGATCTAGAAATGGACTATAGTGAAGTCGAAAGATAATATAATGTCCTTCCACCAATTTGGTAAAAGACACGAAAGCGGGGCGATAGGTTTGGGTTTGTTTGAAAGGGTTAGAAGGAAGAAGAAGCTTATATATTAATGAAAGTTCATGTAATGGTGCATGCCTAATAAAGAGATTATGAGAAGCACGGGTAAGAGTGGTGATAGGAATGGAGATAGACTAGCATGCAAGAGAAAACGAGTAGGACAAAGAATGAAATTGTGGTCTTAAGAATGCTGATGGTATGTTTGTAGATTAAGAAAATTACAAAGTTGATTTTGGAATAAAATATATGAAAAGAAATGGAAGAGCGATAGTGATGAATATTTACAAGTTTACAATTGATCAGAACAAAAAATATGCTTGTTAGGATGAGCATAATGACATTACGAGTTTTGAACCTAATTTTAATTGTCTTATTTTTTGTTTTCTAGATTCTTTTGAAGATACCATGCTTATGATGTTGGCATTTATATGAGTGGGGTGTATTCTCTAGTGTATTTTGGTTTATTATTGTAGTTTGTCTTGTTTCTCCACTCATTAAATTCCTAGTACAATGCATTATTCCAATCCTTCACAATTCCTCTTGTGGGTATGGTATCCTTTGTTTCCTTATTTTTGTAGATCTCATGTTGGTACCCAATGTTGTTTGCTCATGTTGAAATTGTTTTATTTGCCAACCACTGATTACAATGTTTGGGAAGTTGGCTCCTTGTTAACACTATAGCTCTTCTTAGCTCTCTATTATATCTAGATCTGGATTTTCTTATATGCGATCCTATTACTCTACAGGGAAGTCGATACTACTTGTCACCTCCCAAGAAAACTCTTACTGTCTGTCAGGTGTGTGGATTCTCCATAGTCAATGAGACCCTCGGTGGAGCCGATCCGTGAAGAGGGCGTCACGTGATTGAGTGAAGGAGAATGTCACAGATAAAAAGTCCCACATCGGCTAATTGAAGGGCTGAAAAACAATATTTAAGTCCTGGGCTGCTCACCACCCCTAAGAGCTCTTTTGGGGTTTTTAATACAATTATTATGACGTTATGTATGCAAATTTTGCAGTGAAATTTAAGAATTCATAGGTTTACAAAACACTAAATAAGTCAACTTATTTTGCAGCGAGGGGGAATGCGAGGCAACAAAGTGGGAGGAATACGGTGGGGATGAGAGAGGGGGGTGGATAAAGGAAGATAATCACCACCTCGAGGGAGAGAAACAACTAAAACACCACTCAATCTCTCAGATACAACCCTCGAAGGGAGAAACAGACGCCAATGGCCGTCCTAAATAAAACACATGAAAAATTGAAAACCTCAAACAATAAAATCAAATAAACAAGCCCTAGATATTTAGGTTCCCTTTATGAAAAGGAGGTGCCAAACAGTCGTCGGAGAGCCTGTCGGCCCTTTCGGGTATGGATGGGTGAAATTACGGGATCAACTCCCACAACTTTTTTACGCGCACATTACTATAAAACTGCTGTAACTAGGATCACAAAATTGCTCCAACATTATTGTAACACTACTAGAGTAGTGGAGCGAAAGCTCCCGTGTCAGTGTCTTGGGGTTAGGGGAGTTTCAACCTCATATATTGAAGTTTTCTTCTCCTTATAGTGGTTAGGTTGGTTCTGTTGAAGGTATCAAAAATGACACAATATTCCAACAAGTCTATCGTGTAGGTGTGGACATTCTAAAACACATTCTAATAGAATAAGTATCCATTCTCTCTTTGCACAACCTGAGTCGGAGTCACATAACAACGTAGATTCTCACAAGCAAAAGCTCAAATATGTAAATATATAATGCTTCTCTCACTCATCGTACTTGGTTGGGTGTGTCTGATAAACTAAGTTGTACATCTTTGATTTGATGGACACAACTCACACTAGCTACCACTCAGAAGAGGGCTCTTCTTCTTCTCTGATAGGACCTGTATCCTACTGAAGAATTTTATTCCTCATCAAGCTTCCAAGACAATATTCAAAGTTGTGGTTCATCTATAATGTTTGAAATTCTGCTGGTTGAACTGAATTTAATATCAGAATAAGTCCATATAATCTTTCAGACTTGGCATAGAAGACCCCTATTTCTGACTTGTTGGACCTCTCTCAGTAGGGGTTACTCAGGAAGGAGCCTTTAAAAAGTCTGGATTTCTCTTATCTGGGATTGCCAAGTGTTTTTGTCGGTTCCTCATACTTAGGACCATCTTGGACCACCAATGTGAATTATGTTGGAGCCTCCTTTATGCCATCATCTTGAGCTACGTGCTTTTCATTCTTATCCTTTGGAATCTGATCCCTCTTCTGTGTCCTCGTCTTTTTCAGTTTCAACTGTCATTGTTACTTTCTTCAACAACTCCCTGTTCGGTGAAATAAATCACCCCTAGTTGTGTTATCTGCTTCAATATGCTCAAATCCATGACACTTGAAACACTTTCTGGTTGAGATAGATTTGAGAATGCGAATTGGCCCCCTCTGTTGTCCATTTTGAACTATTTACTTCTCAGGCGAGGTTATCTTGGATATTTCCCGGAGTGCACTCTAGCTGTAAGATCCTAAGGTTGAACCCTGTTTGTAAGATGTGGTGGTTTTTCGACAATGTGGTATCTCTATTTTAGAAGCTAGGGTATGAAGAGCCAGTTTGTAGGGAGCTGTTAAGAAATGACTCTGCATCTTCTATTTCATCGTGGATCAGATAGTGATATTGTCTTTTCCTTCAAGCAAAAGTACGTCTTTCAAATTATTTTACCAAAATAACACTCTTTTTTAACTTGCTGATAACTAGCCATTTCGTCAGGTGGACGTCTTGACACTCAAAGATAGGGGTTTGTGGCGTCAGCTGGAAGGGTGGAAGAGGGTTTTCTGAAACAACAGGTAGGGTGGAGGGGTTCGACGACAGCTGACAGTAAGGTAGGGGACATTTGCTGCTGGCTGCAGGGTGGTAACGGGGTTGGGCTGATTTATAGGGACTGCGGTTAGATAACAACAGCCAGCAGAGGGTTGGTGCGGCTGGGACGCTGAGCGGCAGGTGGAAGATGTGGGGGCCAGGCAGCACTAGCAAAATGCGGTTCAAGTTGGGAAGGCAGGTGCTAGAGGGAGGGAGACGGACCTGGAATGTTGGGGATGCTACTGGAATGACGAGAGGAAGGTGCCCTGCAGTGGCTTCGGGGCTGCAGTAGACAGCAGAACTACTGTCTTTAGGGCGAACTGCAGCTGATACGGCGACGAAGCTGGCAAGAGGGAGGTTGCGGGGTGGGTGAAGTCGGGGATAATCACCACCTCGGAGCGAAATACCACCATAGCACCACTCGCTCTCCGATACAGTTATAGAAGAGAAAAGGGCGATTCAGGCGGCTGTCCAAACATAAATCTTAACAAAAACTAACCTTAGAATAGAAAACTAGGAAGAGGATGCCTCTCCCTTTGGGTAGCAACCTTAGCCCCAAAATAGGAGATGACCAGCCCTAGTAACCCCATGGCTGAATCGGTCCTAGCGGCCGAGTCGATTCAGTCCCCAGGGAGCCTCGTGTCACCACCTGAGCTCACACTTCATCATTTCCACTGGATTCATTATACGCTTGCTGCTAGATGTAAGTTTGAGTTATGATTGAGGTCAAGCTTCTCCCCCGTAATTTGACTTCAGGCTCTAACTTGAACTCTCTACTACAATAGAGTCAGATCAATTTGTGAACATGATTCATTCACTCCATTCTAGGCTAAATAGTTATTGTTAGATTGATTATTCTCTAGAACTTAAGGTGAAAGCTATTGGTTACGCTTAGCAAATATCTTGGTGACTATCATGGTAAAACACATTTTCACACAGTTAATTAAGCAAGTTGAACATGATTGGTGATCCTCGAACGATAATTGAATCAACAAATTGAGAGAATGCCAATAATTATTTGCCCAATTCTTTTCCAAATGTACACACACACACAATTATATATTGAAATATTGAGAATTCTGTTTTAGTTGAAGATTTATTTGTGGACTATAGCTTTATTCATTCCCCAGCTACCATGTTTCACTTCAAATTTCTTAACGCTTTGTCCCTGAACAGGACCTGCTGATGTGGTTGATGATGTAACCGGTGGATTAAAGCTTTTGTAGCATGGCATTCAAGAGTAAACATCTCAATCTGATCACTAAAGGGAACGTTTTAAAATCTGATCTGAAGTTTAATGCCGGGTGCTCATAAAAGTCACCATAGAATTTGATTCTTACTATCAACAAACCGACAGTATCGGGGTATCTAATTTGTTATATTCTGGAATTTGTAAAATTAGATCTCATTCAAACGAATTTCAGGCATGCCTTCCTGGCTTATCCTTAACAGGATCAAGGGGCCGAGCTGATTATTGGTATGCCATCATCATTTTTTCAAACTTTTTTCAATATCAAGATGAAATTTTTTTTAATCATTGCAAATACTTTATCATGCAACAATTATAATAGACAGTCTATGCCTAATTGCTGATGGAAGCTCATCTGAGGAGCTCAGTGATTAAATTTAGTTTTCAATCTTTCTAATTTTAAGATTTTTGCTTGCTTTGTCATTTTCTACTCTCTTAGTTGTCCAATATTCTCTTTTATTGGGAGCATAACAACATCAACTCGGTAGTCCATTATCATTTGACTTCCTGCATTCCTCATTGATTGTTGCTTAATGCATGCCAATGGTGATGGTCGGTGCTCGACAAATGTCTTTCAAAACCCTCTTGAGGCCTTTCTTCTTACTCTCTTATATTTTCAATCACATCAGGAGAATGAGAGACAATTACCTTTTATTATTGGACTTTCAATGTTTCCAATTAATTGTTGTCTAATGCCTTGTAATAATTGATATGCGTGCCATTGATGTTTATATTCACGATCATTCAATATTCTCTCTTATGAGGAGAACAACCAAGTTAATTGTTCACTATAATGAAACTCTTAATTGTTCTCTATTAATTGTCGCCTGACTCCTATCGGTGATCAATATCTGAAATATGACAAACATCATCATTGAATTCTCCTTATAATAGAAAAATGACAAAGTTAATCGCTCGCCATCACCCATTTTCTAATGTTTCCTATTGACTATTGCCTGACACCTATCAATGTTAAACATTTATTAAAGAATGAAGCCAATCATCATGATCGTTTGATCTCCTTTCCGATAAGGAGAACAATCGATTTGATTGTCTAAGGTTATTTGACTCCTTACCTTCCTGCCAATCATAGAATTTCGCTTGCCAATGATAGATGTTCTCTTATTGTTGGCTTTTTGCTCGTCTTCGTGGCTACCCGATATCCTCTACTATTAAAAGAATGGTTAAGTTTCAATTTTATTGTTGTATTTTAAGGATTGCAAATGGTGTTCTATCCCATAAATATTTTGATTCAACATTTGAATTAAAAAACCTCTAAAATAAACTTTAAAACTTTTTGAACTTTCGACTTTAACTAATTCGTAATCTAAACAAATTTTATTTAAAGATATTAACATTAATTTGAAGAGAGCTTAGAGATTTTAATAGCTTTAATCCAATGTTTGATGATTAATATCTCACTCTTGTAATATTCCCGGTCTCATTGTTGTCTGGTTTGTCATTTGCTCTTTGTTAGCACCCAACACCGGTTCTCTAACACTATAAATTGTAACCACAAGAGGCTAAGTTAGTATTTTATATTTTGTAATTTCACCTTTATCAGATTCCATTCCTCTGAATCGGGGCATCGGTTTTGAGGTCTTTTCCCCGCTCATTACATCTCATTGCAGTAAATTGCTTTTTTTTTTCTTTCCTATAATTCACCCGCTTAGAGCTCGTACTCACTCTCACATCGTAAAGGATATAAGCTTACACTTGAGCTGTAAAGTAAGGATACACGCGGTGGGCAAAGGTAGCAATCTAATCTTATCGGTGTTGTATTGCTGCCCGAGCCCGAGATTTTCTTACTGACTGCTTTGAGCAATAAGCGCTTTCAGTCAAGTCAGGTGCTCCTATCTTTCTTTATCTTTGACGAGTAAGCAAGAATACATTACTTATTAAACTAGGTGCGACTGACAAGGAGCATAGCATTCAGTTAGAAAAGTTTGAGGAAAGACTGTGTTTTTTGTCATCAACAGTCAAGTAAACAACTGCTTCTTTTCTTTCTACGAAGGTAAGCTTATTACCTTCGATCCCCTACTTCAGTGATCCCTTCCTTTCGACTTGGCTAACTCTTCATTTCTATGTTAGAAGCCCGTTGTCACCCGGTCCATGGTCATTCTTCCTACCAAGGCGCTAGTGTCACATAGAAAAGAAAACTTCTAACCACTCAACATCTTGATGTAGAAAGGTTGGTATTGTATGGCGCGCTATAGATCGGATCCTAAGTAGCTATAGGATGAACCCTGGAAGATGGCCCTACCAAAGAAAGCGGGTCTCCTTATTATTTATGAGAAATTTTCAGTCTTATAACGACCTAGCTAACCTTTATCAGATTCCATTCCTCTGAATCGAGGCACCGATTTTGAGGTCTTTTCCCCGCTCATTACATCTTATCGTAAATCTGTGCATGAGCTTCTAGGCTATGTCATGAGCTTCTAGCTAACCATTATTTGATTGAGGAAAAGAGAAATTTATATAACCTCACTTGGATAGTAGATTATTTGAATTAGGACAAGTTTCATAATTATTTAGTCTAAATTTTTCATGTAAAAATTTTGGTTTTACATTCAATATATATATTTTTTTAATTTATACCCGTGTCGGATCTTGATATAAAACTAAGGCGTTAAATTCTCTTCTTATTGTTGTGAATATTCAAGCCCACAATACTGCAAAAAAGATAGCTTTTAATTATAATTGTGTTGTGGCTATTGAATTAAACAACATTTGTGGGAAATACCAATTAAAATTTGCCCACTCTTAAATTCTTGTAGTTCCGCCCCCTTATTATATTTTTTTTTGTCACATAAGTATATCTTTTATGCTACGTGTAATTGTATTGAAGACTAATGTTACTAAACTGATCTACTTGATCTGACATGAATCCCAATACATGTTGGATAAAATAAATTAGAATGAAATTTAAAAATTATGAGTTTTGATTTCAGAAAACTTATACTTAAATTAACTACTCGGCGATATAAACCTAACGGCACTGCAGGTGATTCAATTTGAGTTCAAATAAGCTCAGGTTTAGTACTTAAAGTATAATTAGATTTAGTACTTGAAATATAATTAGAAGTTTAAAATCATTAATTGGAATGTCAAATAATATACAAATTTAAAGTGCTTATATTTTAATGAGTAGATGAATCAACAGGGAGTGTCTCATGAAGTAATTGAGGATTTTAGCTAAATTTATCAAAACATCCTTTTAAAAAAGGGGGAGGGCTGAGTCAAGACTTCTGAAGAAAGCTTAAAGCCAACAGTCATCAGCAATCTTTGTGGACTACTGTTATGACCCAACTATTATCCTACATCTGTTGTAAATTGATTCATATTTCTAAGTTATTGTTGTATGATACTTGTAACTTATAATCTCATTAGATCATAACAAGTGATTTTTTTAGCTAGTTTTTTACATAATGTCTCTTCTTTTAACTCTTCATTTATCCATGTGTTGAATTTTTATATAATTCTAAAAAAAAAATTAATCCCACTCTATCATTATAAATTTTTTCACTTCCAATAAAAATTATTACAATAAAATTAATATATTAAAATTCAATAAATATCTAGATCCATAATTTTTCAATCATTTAATATTAATTTATGTACTTCTAAACCCACAAAATCTCATATGCAAATTTAATTTGTATTTTTTATCCATAAAAAAATCTCTTTTTGTTTATAAATTTAAATAATTTTTTTTAAAATATTTATTTTAATAATACAATCAATTAAGAAATAAATCCACGCGCAGAAGAAAAAACTCTAGACTTTGAACTCCATTAATGCCGGTCAACTTCCTCCTCACATCCAAGCTTCGCAACTCTTAATTCTTTCCTTCCGTCATCTTCTTCCTATAATACTCCACCACTCCTTCGCCCCTCCCAAACCCTAGCTTCCAAACAACTCTCCCATGGCAGAAAACGATTTACCCTCCCCTCTCAGCTTCAACACTAGCAGCTCGAAAACAGATATAAAGATAAGCACGCTCACGGTTGTCGTTGCGGCGATCTTCTGTTTCCTCACAGTTATCTTCGTCTTCCTCCTATACCTGTACGCCAAGTACCATTGGGGATCGAGATCCACCCCCCGCCGCGCCCATTTCATCTTCCCCGCCGGCAATCCCTCACTCCCAAATCCAGGTCTCGACCCCACCATCCTCAGATCCATCCCAATCACTCTCTACAAACCGAGCGATTTCAAGCACGGACTCGAATGCGCCGTTTGTCTCTCCGAACTCACCGCCGGCGAAGAGGCTCGTTTGCTTCCGAAATGCGGCCATGGATTCCACCTCCAATGCATCGATACGTGGCTTCAATCCCATTCCACTTGCCCCATTTGTCGCCGCTCTGTCGGTCCCGAGGCCGTCGAAGATCATGAACATCGATCGGATGAATCACCTGATTTGCCCGCCGATGTTCTGTTTTGGGGGAATCGGAATCAGATTAGCACAAGGAGAGTGGTATCTGAGGAAGAGAACTCCGGCTCCTCTGGTTCGTCGGAGAGGGTGTTGGTGATCTCGATTCCAAATCGATCAGCGGAGGGGTTCATCTCATTGCCATCGATAAGGTCTGAACTGGAGGACATGAAGTCGCCTGTAACGCCAAAGCGGTGGCCTTTGAGAAGAACAATTTTCAGCATGGGGAAGAAGACGGGCGGTTCTTCTTGCAGCAGCCCTCGGGTTGGTGATGTGGAGCAGGGATTGGAGGTATCTGGAGCAGAAAATGGCGAGGGAAGCTCTGGTAATTCTTCTGCAAGCTCATTGTGAGTCATTTGCAGAGGAATTTGTTTCTCTGCTCTCTGTCTGCACAATTCAGTTTTTAGGTTTTTGAAATGGAGAGAATATTACGTAAGTTGCCGGGATATCCGCATTCAAATTTTACATATAATATTGTTTAATACTGTTGTATATGTATGTATGTATGTATGAAACATTTAAAATCAATCAAAGGGTTCCTTAAAAAATGGTAAAAATTTGCGTCAGTAAGACGAATGCAGCATTGCGTACATAATAGAGGTTATGTTGGCGTTATATCGACATTATATTCGCGTTATATCTCTTATAACCTTCATATAACTTCTATGTAACCTACAGATATGTGAAAACAGAAGCGTGAAACTTATTTGTAAGTTCAAGTAGGTTACAAGTAGGTTATAAAGATGTTATATGGAGGTTACAAATGATATAATGCCGATATAACGCCCATAAAAACTCTATTATATACATAGCGCTGCATACGTACACAAATTTTTTCTTTAAAAAATAGGCTCTTCTTACTAGCGTGTAATACTATTGAGATGTTAAATTTGTGTGTGGAGGATTTACATACATACCACTCAATTCCTATGTATTTACGTATCTAAAATTTAAACTTTAAATTTTACAATTATGTGATCTTATCTATGCATGAAAACTTTATATATTACTTTTAAAAATCAAAATAATGATATTATTCATGTGAAAGGGAGGTTTAGGTGTTTGTTATGTAAATACGTAGGAATTAGTGGCATACATGTACGTGCCACCTCCTCTCAATTATTATGTATTTACATATCTAACATCTAAACTTCAATATTACATATATAACATCTTATTTATCCATGAAAATGAGTATTTCATTTTTAAAATTTAAAATAATAATATTTTTTTAATGTGAAATGAAAATTTTAAATAGTATAAATGTAAAAAAAAATAAAAATAATAAATTAAAAAAAAAAAAAAAAAAAAAAAAAAACTAAAGTTTAGGTGTCAATTATGTAAATTTATCATTTAGATCATATTCAAGTAGGGCTGTCAAGACGGCTCGTTGTTCGCGAACAGCTCGTGTTCGGCTCGCTAAGAAGCTCGTGTCCTGCTTGTTCGCTAGTATATATATATCTTTGATGAGTAGTATTTTTAAGAAACTTAATTGACTACAAGCCTATAAAAATTTATAATAAATTATAAGTATTAATTAAGAAGATAGAATAAAAATTATTAAATATATTCAAATGACCTTTTAATATAAACAATAACTTTTAAATCTTATCCCAATCCTTAATATCTTATGGCTACCTGATTATGGTTGTCAAAACGACTCTTTGTTCGTGAACGGCTCGTGTTCGACTCACCAAGCAAACGAGCCAAACACGAACACATTTTTTAAGCTCGAAATATAAACGAGAGCGTTCGGCTCGCTTACACCCTATGTAAATATATATGAATTAGGCCTCAGACTTTTTATTTGCGGACGAGCACACAAAATATTGTTTTATTACTTATTAATTTGAATATTTTTCCGCTTATTGTAATAATAATAATAATTATTATTATTATTTGAATTATTGTTGTCTCAAGGAACCTTGTTTTGAAATTTCTACGTTCAGCTACGTTTGAATTGTGGACTTAGAATTTTGACTACCACAACGTGTCTTTTGAAATTTCACGTTTAGAATGGAGGAAAAAAAAACTCAAAATGTATTTTTTTTCGTCAAGAAATATTAAAAAAAATTATATCTTCTTTTAATCTTTATGTAAAAAAAAAAAAAAAAAATGTAAAAATCTACTATATATGTATATATATTATACAATATGTTAATGATGTCTTAAAGATATTCTCTATTTCTCTCATGTATATTAGATTAATTTTTTTAAGCTATTAAACTGTTATATTTTTAAATAATATCTGTTTTAATTATACTTTTGAAGATAAAAGGGTTATTTGTATATTAAATTAATAAAAACTAGATGTAAATGGTAATGATGTGTGCTCGAAGGATTTACGGTGATGAAGTAGTTATTTAATGTTTTAGTGTTGCACGCAAGTTTGACACACACTAAGATGATGGAAGTAACAGATAGAGACACTCGAAATTTTTATGTGGGAAACTTGGAAGAGAAAAAAAACAATAGGGCGTAGTGCAGTTGGTAGAGAACGTCTTGATACTATTATGTAATAAGTTTTTATTTTTTGAATGAAATGGTGGTGAAGTTATCAACCCCAACCGATCAAACCTATTCTCCTCCTCCAGGATACGTTACCATTTACGAGAAGACGTTGGAGATCGGCTTGCAATTTTCATTGGCACTCGAGCTGATGGACATTTTGAAAGCGATCGATGTCAGTATTTCCAAGTTTTCCTATTGAGTAACGGTAGTCGACATTAGAATTATTACTTCTGTTTGGAAAATGTGATTTGAAGTTGACACCGGAGATTTTCACGAGTTAGGTGGATTTACTAGCGACGATAGCAACTTCTTCTAAACCAAACTTTCAAATTTTTACACATAATCCTATAAGATAGTGGTTCATAGGATTTTTCTTCTTTAAGATTGGTTGGGGATTCCATGAGAAACTAGAGAAATTGTAGCAACAAAATTGCAACAACTGCTTGTCTCCGTCTGAGTCACTGAAGATAAAATATTATGGATGTTCAAATTTCAGAATTCAGGGGGATGCAACTCAAGATGTACTATATCTATGAATTTGTGAGCGTGAAATTCCTGTTCAAGGTCAGACTCACCCTCCATCTAGGCGATCTCTTATAATGATGTTTAAGAAATCTGAGAAAAAGTGCCGAACATGGCCTCTATGGCGCCTCCAAAGCTCCCCCTACTGAGTAGTGATTGTGAGATATTTCCTCAGAAGCAATGCAAGTGGAGTGAAGAGGCGAGGAAGCCTTCACCCAGTCCTTCAAAGAATATTCACATTTTGGAGAGCGAATTGACTCATTCGTGCACCGGGTTCTAGGAGACCAAAGAAATTATGATTACATGCTAAGTTTCATTGTCGTGCATTCCTTTCATATGCCTGGTATAAAGTTCTTTGTTGAGATGGAAAAAATGATAGAACTTCAAATAGGACTCAAACTCTCTTTAAGAGAGCAAAATTCTGAATTCATCAAGGTCAAGTTCTTAAAGGTCGAGTACAAATGACGATACGCTTTTGAAGCTACGAGAGCTACGACCCTAGAATCTCAACCGACAGAGTGCAGGACAGAGTTATCCACAATAACAACTTCTTTTTCATTGTAGTGTTGAGATTGGAGAGCATTAGAAAGGAGTTGTGGAGGTATGAGCTGACCTCAGTTAGAGAAACAAGACTTTGAAGGCTCTGAGATCGAAGATGTGAGCTCTTGAGGAGGAGGTCCATAATTTGAGGTCTAATAATGAGGTTGATGTCACTAGAGTCTTGTTGAGAGGTGTGAAGGGTTTCAAGAGTTTAACAAAATTTAAAAGCATCATTTGTGATCATGATCAGGAGAATCATAATCATATATACAACGTGGAGGTGAAGGGTATGCAAAAGGAGCGCATCAAGGAATGATTCATCTGAGGCTTTTTGAAGGGGGTTGAAGAAGTATAATGTTAGACTGGGGTCGTTGTAGAGGGAGTTACCCCCAACTAGGATTCAGAGGGCCCTCATTCAAAATATAAAGGTGAGAGTATCTAGATTTAGCCGAAGCAGGTGTTCTCCAACAACCATGACGGGGAGGAGAACAGTGAAATTGAGTAGTGCTCTGCTTTTCTTTTTTTGTTTTCTGCATATTCATCTATGTTCTGTCGTTCGAGTTTAACTGATGAAGTCATCCATTTTTTTTTATGATTTTTCTTGCACTTTCATCTATGCTTTATTGTATGAGTCAAATTGATGGAGTCAATGATGATGTTATTTAGTAGTTTCTATTTGCTGGGTATTTGCTCCATCTAAGCTTTTCTTTTTATTTTTTACACTCATATGTTTCCAAGCATGATTATGATAATGATTGCATCATCCTCTATCATAATATATATATATAAGATGCTAGTAGAGCATCTGATCCATAAGGAGGTTGTTGTGACTCGTGAGAAGAACTGTAAGTAAATAAATCAGAAGTACATTGAAGCTACTGGGGAGATAACAGTGTATAATGTGAATAAAATGACCAAGAAAAGAAACAAAGGGAGTGAAATAAAGATTATATGATTGGACTGTCACTTTTAGCACTTGCGGAGAGTCTTCATGTTCTACATTAAGGGTAGGGTCTTTTTTTCTGAGCCTTTAAATTGAAGCTTTGAGACTTGATCATGATGGCAATGGTTTAAGGTCCCGGGGGGGGGGGGGGGGGGGGGGGGGTGTGAGGAGTGCAATTTGTTATGTTGAGGGCCACGATCAGCTGCTTTAAGATTGCGTAGGACCATATCTTTGATGGAAAAATATCAAGGATTGACTTTTCAGTTGAAGTGACTTGCCACCCTCTTGTGGTATGAAACAGCCATGAGGTGTGCTACATCACATATTTCTAGAACGAACTCTAGCTGTTGCTAAAGTTTCTCCTCGTTGTCGTTTGGGTATGTTGAATCCAGATTTATTAATGAATCACACTTAAGGAATAAATCATAAGTAAGAAGAGATAAGAAGTGAGAGATATATATAAAAAGAGAGGAATGAATAATAATCCACCGTGTCTTATTCATAAAATGATTTCTCTATTTATAATAGAGGAGAATGTACAATAATGATATTATATTGGTGTCCTTATTTTAAAAGGGACCATTCTATGATTTTCTAGTATTTTACATGTATAAATTTATGGTCCAACTACTTTCCGGCTCAGTAGGCTTGGGTTCAGGTTGATAGGATCAGCTCGATCAGTATGTGCTAGCCACCTGATATGACATGATATGGGTTGGTCGGCTGAGATGACATAGTTGTCAATCCTTAATCACTGATGAGAAGCTTTTGGAGAATCCACAGGATGGTTAGAGATGATGTAGAGCTAGATTTTCTTTTGATTCTACTCTACTGGAGAGTAAACAATCACATTGGGTCAGTTTTCTTGTAGTGGTTAGCTTAAATGTTATTTTCTTCTCATTTCTAGTTGAATGGTTTGTGCTCGGATCATTCACTCGCCTTATGTCCGCCTCGTGTTTGATTAGTTTTGGTCTTGCTAGCATGATTGGTATAGGTTTTGTGGGCTTTAAGATCTTCTTGCATTGGGTCAACCTTCGGTGTACTTTTCCCTTTTGAACTGTTGGATATGATCTTTATAACCAACTCTTGCATATTTTTTAACTACATATTTTAGTTCTTTAGTTCTCTTACTTCTTAAAGTGACGTTGCGATAACAATAAGATAATTCAATATAGAAGTAAGCCACATTCAATTTTTAATTAATGATTCAATAATTGAACTCCTATGATTAAGCCACATTAAATTTTTAATTAATGATTCAATAATTGAACTCCTATGATTTTCACACTATTAATTCTTATAAATTAGGCATGATGGGACTCCTTCCCATTTCTTTTTTGCTCAACTTCTTTCCTCATTCGAATTGGCTAGATTTTGAGTGTTGGGCATTGCAATGGATAACCCTTCGAAAACCTATAGAAACATCTTCGATAAAGACTTGATTCACTTTATCTTTAAGAAACTAAAAAGACGAGGCCACCAGGAAGGTGAGAGAAAGAAGAAATATGTTGTGAAGAATATGACAATTGCACTTAAACTGTCAGTTCAGGTCGGATCATATGATTCATTCCCACCAACAATAAACAATGGAATGTTCAGGTAACTGATTCATCCATCGATATGACTGTTAAATTTCTACTATGGGGGCCTTCAGGTTGATTCGGTCACTAAATGGCTTCTAGTGACCTCCCACCGTGTTCACCGGTACTTGTTAGTGAAGGAACCACATTGATTATGATATTTGAGTGGAATTGAGTCCTGAGTAAGAGTGGCTTCAATCTTATTTGTGGGATTTGATTTTTTTTTTTTGAAGTTATTTTTGTTTTACGGTACTTCGTGATGTAGATAACCCAAATTCAGTAATCCTGGATGATGATCTAGCTCTAACTGGTGTAGATGAGAAACCGACCAGGGCGTCGATGATAGTAAACCAAGCGCCAAACAAAGATGATCGACCCTCAAGCAAGGACGGTGAAGTTGATCACCTTGACATCCCTTATGAAGGATGCAGAAAAATAGTCGATCGACTTAGGACATCCCTTGGGTCTCTTGCCCATTGTCTGGATGGAATTTAGAGCTCATTTTCTTGGTTGATAGTGATCTAATAAAGCGAGGAATTGCACGAGCTATCAACCTGTGTGGAAAGGGTGGAGAAGATGGAAGAGGTGCTGGCGACTCTTCGTTGGACGTTATCAGACGTTCGGAAGAGATCTTTGTTAATTCAGATTAAAGTCGAGTTATATCAAATGGGTTAGTTTAGGTTTGAGGGAAATTCTTGTTTGGGGGGATACTTCGACAGAGGTTTGTTTCAGCCGAAGTGGTGAAAAATCCTTTCGGACTAATGTTTTGGTGCCTCATTGTAAATTTTAAGTAACTTTTTTCGGATTAAAATTATTTTCTTGCCTTATTTTATATGTTGATATGATCCTATCGTCAGTCCATAATGGAAGTTGTTATTTATTTCTGTTTATACCCCTTATGACAGTTGAACTTTCTCCATTCCCTATATATATAAATAACATAGGGTTGCGAGATTAAGATCCCTTTGTCCTTTTTTTTTCCTTCCTTTAATTATCCTAATTCCTTATTTATCTGCTTTGCTCGAAGGATCCTCACCATTCTCTACAAGATTTCAGGCTAGTGGACATGAGCGATTGATCAAAGATGACACAAGGAGAAGTTGAACTATTGCAGGAGACTTACCACAAGCCCGAGTTGCTGGCGAGGCCGATTAAGCTACCTCTACGTATGATGCCGATCTTCTCTTCTATAAAGACCAGCTTTGGTTTGGCCTTTGAATACAACTTTATCGTGAGTTGCACTTCGTCTTCTCAAACTATGGCACCATCTCTACCCAGATGAAGCCCAACTCAACTGCAACCATCACGAGCATTGTCATATTCTATCATCAGTAAAAAATCCAATGGTTCATCGACCTTTTCAGCCATTTTTTTCATTTTGAGTTGGCTCTGATGGGTTTGTGCAGCTTTTGTCAGTTGACAAGTTCTAGTTGTTGTGGTTGTAGAATGAAGTGAAGGATTGAAATCTCTGCTTTTGCCTGAGTTCCTTCCCGTAAGAATGGTTCATCCGAATGATCGTATCTGGTGAATATCCAACAAAAGAAAAAAGAAAAGCATTAGCCAGGGCATTACCTGAAGCCGATAAAATGGAGGGGCACTAGCTGTTGGTCCTCGAATACCTCATTTAGGAAATTATCAAGAGGGTACATCAACCGAACACCTTTGATGAAATGAACCAAGAGCACTGTAAGGCCTCTGATGCTTGTGAGATTGAGAGGAAGGCAATGATTTCCTTTTGTGTGGCCAAGAAGAAGACTCATGTGGTCGCTTGCTCTGAAACACTTGAAATAATGAAGACACCAGTGCCCAAGGTAGTTATGGTCGGAGAGAGTTTGTAAGATTTGGATCTCGTTTACTCTGTTTCTTAATCAACTATTATTTTTCAAAGAATTGAGACCAATGAGCTAATCCTCATCGAGAGGATAATATTTTTGGTGTTTGGGATTATAAGAAGAAGAATGACATTAGAAAGAGTACAGGAGTAGTATACAAAAAAATATTTTATTCTAGACTTCAAGTTTGGGAGGGAGAAATGCTTTAATGTAATATTAGGGAGAGGGTATTGTCAATTGAGGGGGTTGTTTAACTGGGTGGATGCTAAAGTAGTGTTAGACCTAGAGAGGATGATTTGTTCTCGGGTAGGGGATATGTGAGTTTCAGTTAGAGGAGGAGGAGGAGCGCGTGGGCGGGGGGTGCGTGGGGTGGTAGAAAAGTTAAAATTTAGAGTGGGATTAGGTTGAGGAAGGGGAGATTATTTATTGAGGTTTTTGAAAGGTGGAGGATCATCATATTTCATGCTTCTATTCTCCCAAAAATTAGAGGAATGGAATGGGGTTGATAATTAGGTAGCTTAGGACACGAGGATGGGCCATGGGCAAATGTGTTGCAAGTAGTACATGTAATAGGCTTCCATCCATAGATTATAGGTTGTACGATGTCATTCTCATTGACATTAATAGTGATCAAACTGGGAAGAGAGGCATGAGTATTGATTTCTATATTGACTCTCACAAGGCCCCCTTAACTGTAAGAGGATCGATAGCCAACGGGATGCCAATCATACTTGCAATTTTAGAAATACCATTTCCTGTCCAACAATGATGAGGGAGATTTGGTAACTTAATTCATATAGATACATCATTGATTTTTTTTAATAGGTTGAAATTGAGGTGTCCATGGTTTAACAATAAATGGTTTTCTATTAATAAACCAAGGACTACCTTCCAAGATCTAAGCATACTATCAATATATGAAAAGTTAAACAGAAAGAAACCTTCAGTGAGAGAGATAAGCCCCATTATACTTGTAAGTTTCAAATCTTATTTATAGCCTTCCAGGACTTGTTCTTCAGATAAGATAACTTCCTTAGTTGTTGGGAAAATGTAGGAGTTGTTGAATTTACGGGTATTGGTGAGATGCGAAGATAAGAGACTCTTACAGTTAGTAGAAAGGAGAAGGCTAAGAATAGATGAAGAGGAGGGAAAGAATTGATGAAGATTAAGGGCCCAAGCCTCTAAATGAACCTGAAATAAGGGAAAACTAGAGACGACAATAGCTAAGTTCTTTAATGGGAAGAAGGAAGAAAACCCTAGCAGAGGAGCATTCGATAGCCCTCTCATTTTGCTAAAAATTTGGGAATTTGGGCACTTCTTAACCTTTATTCTTAACCTTTAAAAAAAAAAAAACACTTGTATGTCTTGTTCTCATTTACATGGATGAAATAAATGTCAGTTGGACTCGCACACATTGCACATATCAGCGAAAAAAGAGAACTTGGAGTGATCGTGTTTTTTAATTTACACTATTTAGAATTATAATGCAATTAAATTGATAAAAAAATAAATTATGGGCAGATGAAAAGAATTCATCATGTCAGATAAAAAAAAATATATAACTAAAAAATGTCATAAAATCCAACAAAAAATAAGTTCTCTCTCCTGAAAAATAGGAGCTATTTATAAACTTCTATAGGACTTCTTTAAAAAAAAAAAACATTTAAGAGAGAATCAATAAAATAAGATCACATGAATTATAATTTAATGATCATTATAAAATTAAATAAAATGGTTGATGATTTCAATTTGTCTGCCCAAAATTCCCTTCTAAAATTTTAATTTATGCGCTCATAATTTTTTTATGAGACCATCGCTATTTATAAATTCGCTTCAAAAATTTATTAGCAAATTTTAGTGTTTTTTTTTTCTCTTCTCCTTCTATGCTAAAGAGATGCTTTTTCTTGCACGAATTGCGAGTTCTGCGTCCGTTTCCCAAATGGGAAGACCTCGTTTTCCATATGCGCTTCCCTGCAACATCTATCGCAATTCAGTATTTCTTCACCGAAAAAAATGAGATTTTTTTTCTTTATATCTCTTTATTTAATCGAATATGAATAAAAAATAATTTTTTTGCAATTAAAATAAAATAAAAAATCTCAAATTCCCGGGTTCAGGGAACTTTACCCGCCCCCCCCAAAAAAAAAAGTTTTTTTTTCCCTTTAAAATGACGAAAGTTCTCTGTTTTCATTTTGGCGAAAAACTTGAAATTGTTTATTTGAATTCTCTCGGTTAAAAGGGGAGCCATCAAATTGATCTCCAATCTTTGAAGCTTCATGGCTTTTAGTAAGATTCAAGTCTCCGCCGTTTTCAGCTACCCTTATGGTTCCAGAATCCACCATGCCCGCAGTAAGTTTCAGCACATCGGCTTCCTTGAATATCCCACTTCTTCTCCACCTAGTTCTCGAAATTCTTCGAGATTGAGAAGGAGCTTGAATCGATTTCATGCCGTTGCTCCGCCGAGTGATCAGATCTCTTGCGGTTCCAGTTTACTTCTTGACGAGGAGGTTGGTGTGAATTTACTGAATGGATTTGGGGAGCTTCCCTGCTTTCCTCATAAACAGAAATATGAGAAAATGGTTGTTGCAGTCGACATTGATGAAGGTATTTCTCGACGAACCTTTTATTGATCTGTGTCGATTCTGTAGTTCGTTGTTCACTGAGGTTTCTGATGACCTAGAAACTGTGATCATATGGAATACAGTGTGATCTGAGTGAAGTGTGGATTTAGAAGAAAGTGCAGCTCTGTGTGATTTGCCTGAAAGAAATATTTTGAGAAAATATTAGATCAGGAGTCCTGATGCAAAAATGCATCAGTACTTCAATCGCTGCCTGTCACGAATACAGTTCGGGTTCTCTTAGTAAAAAAAAACTAAATAATTTAATAAACGGTGGGGCCAAACTGTATACATGGCAAACAGTGAGTGGAGTCCTGATGTATTTTTGCATAAGGACTCTTAATGTAATATTTTTTCTAATTTTAGGTATCCTTGATATCCCAATAATTATGTTTGATTATTTAATCATTTGGTATGTAGCTGCTACAAGTAACCTTTTGTTTTGGGGAATGGTAATGTGGTGCCATCTTTGTTACTACTTGTATCTTTTAATGATATATAGTGGTTTTATGTTATTAAATAATGAAGTTATTGCTATTATCATGCATGCATACACCACATATTTCTTATGAATTTACATATCTAAAAAACCCAAGCTTTCATATTTACATTCATTAGCATCACATAGAACCATCACTATTATTAACTTTTTAAAATTGAAATGCAACTTTTCATGCATAATTTTATGACACAAAAGTGTGATAAATATAAATATCGAACTTCAGGTCTTAGATATGTAAATGCATAATTTATTTATTTATTTTTTCGATCCTCACTAGAAAGAGATTGGCTTGAAATTGAGCGCTAAGTGGCAATCGAAAATGTTATTGTTTATTATGTAGAAAATTTTGCATAAATCTTGAATTACAGCCATTTTTATCTTTTTATGGAGCTGTTAGTTTTATTGACATGGGCACTTATGAAGCACAATTTGTTAGAGAATAAACAGATTAAATAGAGTTCACTTCAATTTATTCATTGATATAATGAATTGAAATTTTCTAGTTGCACATCGATCTTGACATGGATGGAGAAGTACATATAATTGATTTAGTTTGAAGGGAATTTTACATATGTACCACACAATTCTTATGTATTTACATATCTAAAATTTGATGTTATTTGTCTACGCATGAAAATTTGTATTACACTTTTATAATGATGGTGATATTTGAGTGACATATAAATATGAACGTTTTGATGTTAGATATGTAAATACATAAGAAATCTATGGTATATAAATGCACCATTAGCTTACTTAATCTCATCTTTTTAGGAATAATTCATTGTTTCATTTAAGAAAATGTTCATAATAAACATGTCACATTCTGTTGGTACTTCAACGATTGTTTTCTAAAAGCTGTGTTTGGATATCCTGGCTCAAATAAACATCTCGATTAAATTATCAAAACAATAGTTGTGAAGTATTTTCTTACAATTCTTAAGTTTTCCTGCCTCTCAGTCCTCGGAAGCTTCCTGTCTCCGTTGAACAAGTTTATTACAGATCACTATGGACTGGATCATGATGTTTCAGAATATCATGTGTACGAGTTCTTTAGGGTATTCTCCAATCTACCTCAAAGTTTCTTATATTTACGGATAAACTTTTGATCATCCGAGCAATTTCCACATCTTATTTCTGTTTTGGTTCCTTAATCAACAGATTTGGAATTGTTCTCGAGCAGAAGGTATTGCCGACCGTTATACGTTCAAATCATCCAAATTTCTATCATCTCTGAATATTTGTAACAATTTTTGTTTTCTCAACGGTCATATTTCTGCTATTTGGCAGCTGATATGAGAGTCCATGAGTTCTACAATTCTCCCTATTTCAGATTTGGAATTGATCCCATTCCCGGCTCGCAAAAAGTTCTTCGAAATCTTTCAGCATTCTGCAGTCTATCCATTGTTACGTAAGTTACCTTTCCATGCGTCATTTTAAGCAGGGATATATACATACATACCACCCAAGTCCTATGTATTTACATATCTATACCACCCAAATCTTTCATATTACATGAAAGGAACCAGTGTTTTAACTCTTAAAAAGTGAAATACATCTTTTCATGCATAAATAAGATGGCGTGGATATGTAAAAATTGAATTTTAGGTGTTAGATAAGTAAATACACAGGAATTAAGTGGTATTATGTAAATATTCCTTTTTAAGTATTCTCTGTATTTGTCACATTCTAACTTGATCCTTCTCCTCTAAGCAGATCTCGGCAAAATGTGATCAAAGAGAAGACATTTGATTGGATTGAGAAGCATTATGCAGGCATTTTTAAGGAGATCCAATTCGGAAATCATTTTGCTTTAAATGGGAAATCAAGACCAAAATCCGATATTTGCAGGGGGGTTTTTGATTTATGGTCGGATTTATTGATAGCATCTTATGCCTCAATTAAATTTTAGTTTTGCTATTACGTTAATACCGCCAAGAACATGCCTATGATAAAAGAAACGAGTAAAGTGTTAAAATAGTCACCAACTATTTATATGACTTTTTTTTAATCTTAGAATTTATAGAAGTGTCAATATAGTCCCAAAACTTTAAATTGGGCCGAAACTATTTATATGAGACCATTTTAATCCCATAATTTATAAAAGTGTCAATATGGTCCCAAAACTTTCAAATTGGGGCAGAAATAGTCCATATTGGAGGTCTTTTAGAGTGCAATTTTAAAATAGTCGTGGCCGTGGGCTATTTTGACATTTTTATAAACTCTGAGACTAAGACATACCATATAAATAGTCGGGTACTATTTTGACACCTTACTTCAAGAAACATTAATAGGGGCATTTACATACATACCGCATGATCCCTTATTTTCTCTTCTCATCTAACATCTAAACCTTAATATTTTGATTTATAACACTCAAATCCTTTATATTGCATAAAAATATCATTATTATTCTGAAAACAGGCATGTATTGCAGATCTGTTGGTGCTGAAGTACTGATTGATGATAATCCAAAATATGCTTTTGAATGTGCTGAGGCTGGCATCAAGGTTCTCCTCTTTGACTACCATAACACGTATCCATGGTGCAAGCATGTCCATGCAGATTCTCACAGCCTCATTACTAAGGTTTATAGCTGGGAAGAGGTGGAACAATATTTGATTTCATGGGTGGCTGTATGGAAATGATTTTATATTCATTTTATGCTTTGGAATTTTAGATACTGTAAAATGTTAATATTTGCACTTCTAATCATGATGCTTCGGTTGAGTTGGATTCTGAAAACTTTTATGGCTTTGTTAACAGCTTCAGATTTATTAAGAAAACTGTTCAGTTTATGATCGGTCTGTTAAACAATATTGGTTAATTTAATTTGGATATTTATGAAACTACTTTTTAATTAATACCTCCCAATTTCTATGTATTTACAAATCAAACACCAAAAATTAAATTTTTACATTTATACCATCCAAAATTGACATCTATGTAAGTAAATGAAATGCACAATTTCTTATGTATGTAAGATGGCATAAATGTAAAAAAGATTAATGCTCTCCTTGTGTTTTTGTGTTTTGTTTTTTGAGAAGCTGCCTGAAGTAAAACGTAGTGATTTTCCAAAACATGGACTTCTAAATATTTATTGAAAAGATTAATGCTTGCAAGTAATATAAATTTTAATTCATCAGATGAGATATTTTTGTCACAACAAAGAGATCCGTTCGATCGATAATCAGTCGCAATAGGCTGCATGACCTTTTACATGACACAGGACTCAACCAAAAACAATCCATATTCAGAAACCACTGCAAAGATCAGTTCAATATCCAAAACGAAAACTAGCCATGGCTATAACCAAGACAACCCCTATCACTTTACAAAATTATCCCCAATTTTAAAATAAGACAAAAGGATGCAAGGCAAAGGAAAACATTTATAAAATTAGCAGAAGCACAAATCAAAGCTGGAAGAGAGGCAAGGCCATGACAACACCGAAAACGGAGGCAAGTAGCAAAAGAAGCCATAAGGGGACGTTTCTGGTCTGCTGCCGGTTCCTCGCAATGTTTACTGGAATGTTCTGTTCCGTTGCATTTTCTGGTCTTTTGGCAGCTTCATATGTGGTTGATGGAGTGGGATTTGGTTGCTGTTTCTGTGTTGGTTGTTCTGAAACTGATTGTTCGACGGCACGGAGTTGATTGTGATTGTACTTCTCGACGTATTCGGGGAAGAGTTTTTTGAAATTTGGGCAGTTCTTGCTGTCAGCAAAGAGTAAATTTCCATGAGTTGTTTCAGTAAAGATAGAAACAAGTGCGATAGATTTATTTGTGCAGCATTACTCAAAAAAAGTAAACAGAAAGGAATGATATAAGAAACAGAGACATGTACAAAAAATAAATAAATAAATAAAATTGGTGGGGATTAGTTGCTTCAAGAATTTATTTTAATGCGCACCCTTAACTTATTTACCATTATATAAAATGAACTGATATGAGTGTTCTTATTTTGATAGTTTATAAAATAAAATTATGTTGTCATATCAAAGTTATGGTCCGTCATGAGTATAAATCTACTTTAAGAAGAAGAAAATTATACCCAAGTTAGAACTTAGACTTGAGATTCACGTATGTCCTAGATATTGAAAGAATTCAGCACATGATACAATTATGCTCCGAAACGCATGAAAATGACATGATGATTTCATGTTCCGTTAGGTATAAAATCTTCATATTATGTATAAATTCATCATTGGTTATGATATTTCATACATAAATGATTAAATTAAATATCGAAAGAAAATTATTTAGCTAAGGCTAATATGAGTTCATAAAGTCATAGCATTTCACTTGCAACTTACAAAAGGGTAATTAATTTTTGACATTCATAGCTACGCACTATCATGTTGCGTATATTTAGTTTTTTTTAAAATATTATATTCACAAAGCCTTGTTCTTATTTTCATTGAAAATCTAACTTGATACTGTGTTTACTTACTGTATCTCGTTGCAGAAGATGATGATGATTTCATCATCTCAAATAAATTCCCAAGATTTGAGAAATTGCATTGTTAACGCAATGTGAAATGGCATGAATATTGGTTATTAGTTAGCATTGCGATATAACTGTGTCTTTTATGTTTGGGAAACATTTTTTTTATGTACTATATATTTCTATGTAATTGATAAGTTCTTTAGGAGAAATATGATTATTGCATTGTAGATTTATATCAATAGTTTATAATATTTAATAATACAATTTTTTTTTATAGATTATCCTTCGCATGGCATTTGATTATTTTAGGAGGAATGGTATATTATATTTTATTAATCCACTCTAACGGTGCAGCTGCTTTTAAAAATAAAATGTGAAAAAAGTTTCTATAAAGTTTAAACCAAAATGGAACGCTGCTCGGTCAAAGATGATGCATGATTACATTAATGTAAAAATCAAGAGTACTCGAGGCTTTAATTCGTTGTATACTAATTGCCATAGCTGCCAAAGAAAAGAAAATGTTCATTAAATTCATGATGTAGTTTTCAAGTATTTCAAACTTTATTGACTCAAGATCGATATCATATCTAACAAGTTATCAAAGAACCCTGTTATGATTCTTTTATCTCAAAATTAGTATCAAAGGCTCTGTGGACGCATAAGGAGTTAAATATGATTTTAAATATGCAGCACTTCTGATGTAGTAAACCATTTTGAACCTCCTCTTTTTATTATGATGCATCTCTTAATTTGTAATGAAACTATTTGGGATATCAGCTTATATTTCTATCATGACAAAGTCACAGGAATTTTAAATTTACATCAGAAGGTTTGGATACTAAAATGTCCGGTTAGTGGTAGTTGCATTGTAGCAATATTACTAGAATGATATGGATGTTAGCTTTGTTTTTTTTCTATATTTTGAGAAAATTTATATATCTATAGTTATAAAGATTTATATGTAGTCAGTAGGCAAGCGTGCCACTACCATTCAATAAAACACCATAATCAGCATTTTATATCAAACAAAACAGTGTAGTTTACCCACATTTACTTCACTAGAAATCGAATAGCTATGAAAATCAGAATTACATTCTAAATCTAATGTAACATTATTTTCTTTTATCAAATCCCAGCTCTCATCATCGTCAATGCAGGCAGATCATTTACAAATTTGACCATAAAAAAGAAGTGAATTTGTAATATGGCAGGTAAACCATTAGGTTTTGGTCAATTTTTTTTACTATGGTCAGATAGCTAATGATGTATATGGCAGATATTCTCCCAATAAAATTAGTTTTCAATAAAAAAATGACTCCTTAGGGTATCAACAAATAACCATGTAAGGGGCATCAAAGAATTTACCTCTCGCAAATTGCTATGAAAATCAGAATTACATTCTAAATCTAATGTAACAATATTTTCTTTTATCAAATCCCAGCTCTCATCATCGTCAATGCAGGCAGATCATTTACAAATTTGACCATTAAAAAGAAGTGAATTTGTACTATGGCCGGTAAACCATTAGGTTTTTGTCAATTTTTTTTACTATGGTCAGATAGCTAATGATGTATATGGCAGATATTCTCCCAATAAAATTAGTTTTCAATAACAAATAACTCCTTAGGGTAGCAACAAATAACCATATAAGGGGCTTCAAAGAATTTACCTCTCGCAATTGTATGCAAGTGAAGCCTTGGCCAAGCGTTGCTTTTCATCATCTGTACTCTTAATGCTTCCAGTAGTTTGACTATCATCCATCTGCTTACAGAAACCAAAACTTTTAAGCATATAAATAAGACGATCAGCCACTTAAATTTAGAAAGGCAGATGCCTTAATTATCATTGAAACCTAAAGCAACATAAGAAATGCAATTTTGGGTTTTTACAAGAATGCCAAGTTTTCAGGGTTCATTAGAAGTTGCTTAAAGAGAAGATAAATGCCTCTATATAAAAAAAAATCATGATTACTTGAAAATTTATGGAAAAAATATTGCAAAAGTACTAATTCTGCATGCAATCAAAGATGGAATGAGCACAGCAATAATTTTACCATGTTTATTAGGATATTTTCATCATAAGCCTCCCTCAAAAGTTCCACTAATTCTAAGATTCAGATAGCTCACTATTCTAAATCACCACTTTTCATTTCCACCAATGTACAAGAATTATAATCATCAAACTATTCAGCAAAGAAAACCTATCCCCCTCTTGCAAATCACCCAGTCCTATCAGGCATGACAATCTTCTCTCCAATAATGTTAGCTTCTCCAATAATGTTAGCTAAAGAATCCCAAAATTAATAACTCAATCTAAAGTGAATTTTAGACAACAACATGAAAGGATTTTTCCTCTGGCATTTTGTCACCACAATATGCTAGGGATTTCGAGAGGAAAACCATGAGTATTTATAAAAATCTTCGTATCTATGAGGTGTTGACATACATTCAATTTACAGTTCAATTCCATTCTACAGCTTGATCTGACTCAAAGGATGAACATGGTTCAACCAATTTAGATAAGTGAGATCACGATTTAAATTTAGCAAAAATAAGACCCAAACATAAAATTAATATATATGTACATTGTGTGCATATATAAATGCATGTATGTATACATCCAAAGGTACCTTCAGTCATTACAAAAAAGCACATTTTACTCTTTTATAGATAACGTTGAAATTTGAGGTAATGATCTGCAACCACATCCATTAAATAGTATGTGTATATACTATGTTTCCAAGGCATTTCATAGATTCCTAATGTATTATTTAATATTGTTGGATTAATGCCTCCCAAGCTAGTTCTATTCCTAAAAATAATGTATCTCTTACAAACATGATTTCTTATTCAAATCTCATTCATATCTATGTGGATAAATAAAAGAACCCTTGGTCTTCATGCTCCAACGAAATTTTTATAATATATCTAGCGCCTGGAGTTGTCTTCTTGCTCGCCTACAATAAACATCGAAACAGCATTCCTCTCTCTTCCTGAAATTCTCCAATTTACCATTGATGAGCTCTCCAACCTCCAATGGTAAATCCACCCAATCACAAATCCATCCCTATCATATTGTTGAATTTGCATTTAAGCTTGAGCCCCATCTCTATTTCCATCTTAAATCCATACCATAAGCCAAGTATCTCTCACAAAACTTTCATTGACCCCCTATCTTGTGGGCCTCATTGTTGATCTTCTCTCAAAGACCTTATCAAACTTGATAAGGCACTTCCACAATCAGATTGTCAACCTTTAAGCATTGATTTGGACAAGCACTCTTCAACACAAGTACCTACTACGGAGAATTCATTTGGGTTAACTTTAAAGTTCACATTAAGCAGTCTACATCTTGATGATACGCCCAACCATCTCAAACTCCACTTTAAGGCACTTAGAAACATTCCCACCGATGTCTCTACCTCATTAATAGTTTATATACTACTTCAATAGATTCTCTAACTTTATGGTAAATCCTGTTCAGATATAGAATCATATAGTATCATATTTGTTGTTTTTATCATCATCTCCAGCCTCTTCTTGATAAATCATGTTTAGATATGGAATCATATCGGCACCATATTTGTTGGTTTTTCAATCACCTCCAAGCCCTCCAACCAACCAGCACTGGTAGCTCCTCTTCATCATCCCTCAGCACCTTCCCATTGCCCTGTCCCAGGTACTCTAACCACCTCAGCAAAATACTTAGCCACATTGTCAGAGTGCTCAACCACCTTCTCTGTTCTTCTCAATGATATGTCTGACTATCTTGGCAAATAATTAGCTATTTAGATCAAAAGTGTTTCCCATCCCACGTATCCAAATCTCAATAGAATAATAAGGCTCTTAAAATCTCTTAGAATATGCTCACTAACTTCACTTTTTGAAGTGTATGAGTCAACCATGGCTTCCTCAGCATGGAACTAAACCCACCTCAAAGCTTATCAGCCTCACCTCCTCATTGACAATGTATACCCTCATTCGACAACTACATTAAATCATGGGGAAAACCTATCCTCTCTTCTAGAACATTGTTTTTTAAATAGCTTTACATAAATAACCTCCATATTCATAATTGAGTATTTCAAGGATGCAACTACTAAATATTTTCAAAACACCTCAAAAATTATGTATCATGATATAAATAAAAAATGTATTTAAGTTTACTTCTTGCTATTAATTTTATTTATCTATGTCCCTACTTTCAATATATATTTCTCAACAAAATATATTGGCCTCTTAATAAGCCAGTTTATTAACATATGTACCTCACAATGCTTGGTTTAGTCCATAATGAGGGAAAGTAATTTAGGTTTGTTAAATATGCTTCGTTGGGACTTGCAGAGAGTTTGAGATTACATGATCCCCTCGAAGAGTCGTGAGTGTTAAGAGAGATGTGGAAATCAATTTAAGAGGTCTGAAGCACAATTTATAATTGAAAAGTAAAAAATAAGAAAACATCGATATTTAATGTGGAAAAACGCGAGAACGTGTAAAAATTAGGGTCATACAACACCAATAAATCTATTATGAAGAAAATGAAAAGAATTGTTCCAATTACAATACACTCAAGACTACCCAATTTGGAACTCGAACAAAACTCATTTTCTTCTCCCTCACATAAAATAACTTCAAAATCATGCACAATGAAATCAAAATTGGCACACATTACCGTAGTGAAGTCGGAACTCAAAGTGAAAGGTATCTCTGTTCGGTAGCTAGCATCGGGGTACCGTGATATCGTGGCACTCCAACGACCACTGGGGCGCTGCTATTTCGCACTTTCAAGTTTTGAATATGGGCTTCAGCGCTATGGCGTCCTCAAGAAAAAAATTTCAGTTTCAGGGGCAACATCCCCAAATGCATTAAAATTTGGGGATTTCAAGTGTAATATTGCATTAAAATTTCTTTGCTTGATTAATAGGCCGAAACTCCCCACCCTGCAGACCCTAGCGGCTGAAACCTCCCGCAGGCCGTTACTGTTGTTTTTTTCCAGCTACCGACCCCTTCTTCTCGGTGAATTTTCCCTGCAGGACTCTCTCTGCATCGACACTTCTTTGCAAGAACGACTCTCCTCATCTCCCTGCAGTCGCATCTCTTTGTTGCATGTCTGCATCTCCTTGCTAAGGAAGTTCTAACTGCTTGGAGGTCCATATCCCTTTCTTCAGATTTTTCTTCCTACTGCCTGGATATTTGCTGCAGGTGCATCTAAAGTAGCGTGCATTCCCTCAATCATCATCATCATCAGATGCAGTATCTGCTTTGTCAACCGATACAAGAACCAGAACATCTGGACTCATTGATCCTTCAACTAGAAAGATATGTTGCTGGAAATATTCCTGAATCGCTATTCCAACAAGGATCAGGCCACGAATCTTCGAAAGGCCGGCGCCGTCTTCGTCGTTCGGCCTTTGAGGGGTTTGTTTGAGCTCATACTTGGATTTCAATTCCTGGGGACGCTCGCCACTCATATCAACGTAGGTTGTGGGATCAGCTTCATGCAAGCGAGCTGCCTGGAAATTTTTTTTCTACTTCCATGCTGCTTCAGTTTCACCAAATCGAGAGTTCAGGGATTTCCCACCAATACTGGAAGTTCCTTCTTCATTTCTACGAGATTCTTATTTTGTGGATCCAAAATTTATGGTTGGCCTTGAAATGTTTTATCTCACCTCAAAGTTGAAACATGGATACGATGGCGGAAGACCTACCATGGGTAGCGGGAGTTCTCTAGGGCCTCCCCAAGGGGGTCATTCACAGGTCACTATTGGCACGATAGAGGGTACTAGCTGTTGTATCTTGAAGAATATAGCGGGCATGATTGCACTTCTCGGTCTGGGGATTGATTTGGAAGAAGAAATCTTTAAGCTGTCTTCGGGAAAAGAAAGTTGGGCGACTTCTCGGTAATCGCTTTCCCTTGACTCTAGTGGTGACTGTACTCAGCCGCACCTCGTTCCTCCCTTAACTGCTTAGAGGTTTGTTGTTGTTCAAATAACACAAGCATCGTTCTCTTCCTTGTCTCTGATCCCTTGGAACAATGTTCTTAACAAGAGTGATAGAGTGAAAATAGAGCAAAAATATGGCAGAGACCATTCTCTGGGTCCAATCGCCTTGAAGCATCTTAAGTGGACTCGGTCGTAGAGTATGCAGACGTCAAAAACCAGCCGATCTGTGGCTGAAAATGCCAAACTTGAGATTTCAAAGCCCCACGTGAAGGACTCTCCAGCGAGATCTTCTTCTACATTTCACTTGTCGTCAGATGATAGAGCTCCGAGTAACAAGCCCCGCCTTGGTTGGGGCCAGAGTTTGGCAAAGTACGAGAAGTAGAAGGTTGAAGGATTTGCGGATGTTTCTTGCCATAATGGATCAGCTCAGCCAACCAGCAGTACGATCTCTATTCTTCCTGAATCCATGTCTCCCGCTACCCATACTTCAGTCGCATGCAGTTCATCTCCAACTGCTACAGATGAAAAGCTCCCTATAAAAGGATTAGCTTCTAAAACCGATCGAGCTCAATGCAGTGATTCATTTGGCCTCAAGACTCATAAGTCACCAGAGGATATTTTTATTAAATTGGATGAAATGGTAGCCAATTCCATAAGCTCCCTTGCTTTACTTCATTGTTTTTTGGGGGCCCATTCTCTGCAACTGTCCGGTTTCCTAGATTTCAGCAGTCGGACTTCCCTGATTTCCGACAATTGTCCAGGTTTCCAGCAGTCCGACTTCCTGGTTTCCAACAGTCCTGCTTCCCTGATTTTATGCAGCCTTAAAACATCAGTCCTCTTGTGACTAAGAATCCTGGTGATGAGGTCTTCGCTGGTTCTACTAGCAAATCCATACATCCTTTGGCAAGGCTGCCCACCTTATCAATAACACCTACTAAGTTGGCCATTTCCAGCAGGTTCCTGCTGCCACTGGGAATTTTTGCCACAAACCCACCTCTGAAAGTTTCTCTACAGCAGAACCTCCTTCGAAACTTTCACTGGAGCAGACCCTCCACCTGAATTCTTCCTGCAGCACGTCCTCCTCTGGAGCTTTTTTCTGTAGCGAAACCTACCTCTTGAGTTTTTTTTTCTGCAGGTCATACCCTGCTGTTTTTCCTGTTGATTATCTACTTTCCTGTAAACTCCCCTGCAACATTACCTGTATGAGTCTTCCGTATACTTGCAGACACCGCAGTAATTGTAGTCAAAAGACAATCACAGTTGTTTACTCTCTTGCAAACTCCCCTGCAGCATTATCTGTAAGAGTTTTCCGTCTAGTTACAGACACTGCAGGAACTGCAACTGTCGTTTCCTACTTCCTTGAAAACTTCCCTGCAACATTACCTGTAGGAGTCTTCCTCCTACCTACAAACACTGCACTCAAAGACAACTGCAGTATGAAATAAAGACTTCAAGTTCTACCTCTCAGGATCTTCTTCGGCCATTAGGATTTTCAAATCCAAGTTGAGCATGTTTTTTAACCATGTTTCAACTTGAGGAGGAGTGTTAGGAGTTATACTAGAAAATAATATATTCCTGTGAGAAATTATAATGAATAAAGTATTTCCTTGGATTAAGGAGTTATTTTCTTTCATATTTTATATTTATTTCCTCATATTAGGACTTATTTACTTTCCTATTTTAGGATTTCCAATTTTATGTAATTTTCTTTATCTCCGAATAATTATTATAATTTGATTATTGGATATACTAGGTGATATATCTTTCCTTTTCATACATTTCTTTTTATTATATTTCCTATTATAAGGTTTCATGTAATTATTATTTATGCCCCTTTCATATCCATGAAATAAATTCCAAATTCTGCTTTATTCCGCATTATTCTGACTTTCAACATCACTTACTTTACTCCTCTTTCTTCACGAACACCAAAACAGGTTGTGCTGTCAACACTGTTATATGAGCAAGGAAGGAAACTATACTTCTTCATTGATATCAAGGCTATTAAATAAGCTCCTTGGAAACCATGGTTGCAAACACTTCGATTTTAATAAATTTAGTCCACCAAGTTTACTCAGAAGGACGAAACAAAAGGAACTTGATCTAGTTGAGCACTCTATCCCCCACTCAAATCTAATGCTGACAACTTCCAAACCAAAATGCAATTAGCATCCATACTTTAGGTCATTCTACTTGCAAGAGACATATAATTAACCATGGAGTCTTGTGCCCATGAAAATCCTCATTCTCGAGAACAAAAATAAATCATAAACTAAAAAAGAAAAGTCTCAGTGAAACATCCAAAATTATTTTCCCCCAAAAATCCCATAATGTTATTGTTGAAACCACAACCCATAAAAAGTCCAATAAGTTAATCCTTATAGTGTTCACACCTATACTTCCACAATCTCTTTTATGGAAGACAATTAAGCATCTAAAGACTACTAATGTCTTAAAGCTCCTTTCAGCTCACATATCCAAATTATTTTACAATTATTTTAAGTATTAATGTCTATGCTTTCTTTGTGTTGATTAGAAGTGCATTCTAATGAGACTTTGAACGATTTAATTGTTAAACACGCAAACTTTTAGGTCCCAGTGACACCATAGGCTTCATGATCAACATTTGTAAATCAACTTGTCAATATCTGTGAGAATAGTCAAACTTTATGGTTCATCAAACAGGAAAGTATAGTAATTGTTAAACACTCAAACTAGTGCTTATGTTCCCACGACAATTAAACAGGGAAGTTTCAACATATACCTTCTTTTACCAAGCATAAAATAGCCCTTTACAGCTACAATAATGCACATGAAACAAACACATATAATATTTATAAAAGCATATCATAGATCCAAAATGTACATTACAAGGAAAAAGGTGATGAAAGTTGAAATAAACAAGGATAACATTATCATGTTTGATGTGAAATGAACTCACCATAAAAGAGAGCAGCCCTGTAAGAATGCTGCATATAAGAAACAATTAAAGAGAAATTATGATTAGATAATTGCAGTAAAAACTCTCAGAAGAAATGTTAAAAGGGCCCTTCGCCCGCATGCCTAAAAAGCTAACAATGATATAGAATTACTTATTAAAGAACCCTCCACACATACATCAAGCCATGTATTAAGAAATCATGCATGCATCTATATCCCTTTAAGTAAAGCAAACAATGTACAATCGAAAACTTTAATAGCACGCATTGTCAAAACACAGAAAGATCCTTGAGAGCATATAGCACTAGCCCATGTTAATGTTATTTTCCATTACCTGGAGACGGACCAGATCGGATTCCAACTCTCAGGATGAACTGCAAGACGAGAACAATTCATAATGAAATTTATTACCAAAAATTAACGAACAATTTCTTTCAAGAAACTTACAGTCACTCATAGATAAGCAGATCTTCTTGTGAGGTGCAAATCGTCCACTTGGAGTTATCATGCTAGAAAACAAAAGACGAGGAATAAACATAATAATTATACAAAACAGACCCAAATATAAACACAAATACTACAACACGCTGTTAAACTGTAGCTATTTACCCATTCTTAACAAAATGTGCACAATTAAGCTACCTGATGCTTGGAGGCTTGTATGGATATTCAGGAGGAAATTTGATTTTTCCATAATAATATCCACCTGCAAGTTAAAATAAATAAGACATCAGAAGGACACCAAGAAAAGTAAATTTTGGTGAATAAATCCTATTGCTAAGCGAAATATACTGATGAAGATATTATCAGTACAGAATGATAGTATAAGAACCAACAAAAAAAGTAAAAATACATTCATACGACACATTCTGAAAGGTCAACCTAGAATTCTAAGGCACGATAATAAAATATCAAACTCATCAATCAAGCATAAGGAAAATATGATAGAAGCATTTTGATTACCTTGAAACGGTGTGCCTGCACTTCCCTCGAGCACATAATCTGAAAAGAGGACATTACATTAATCAAGACTGATTATAATAACAAAGAAGAGGTATATCAAAAAGAGAAAAAATTAAAGTTAAATGAAATATTATTGGACGAAAGCTTTTAAAAACCGTCCAAGTGCTAAATTTAAAGCCTAAGCTGAACATTTGATTGACTTTATCTACAACCAATACTTCAAGATAAGAAAAACCTTAAAGCTATGCTTGCTTTGTACAATACATCAATATCCATTGTAATTGATATTGATGCTGCACAACCATGATAAGAACACACTGCAATCAATATGTTGAGGGGCCAATATAGAAGCAACAGTACAAAGGGACCAGCATCTTCAATAGTCAAAAGATAAGTTTACACGAGATACAGCAAGCTGATCTATGGGAAAAATATTAGCCTGCTTCATGTTCTGAAAATAAGATTCAATTTGCAATATCTAGTTATACAACATAAACTACTCAAATGAGTAAAATGTGAACATGAAGACAAGAGGCGTGGGACTCAATCCTATCCAATTGCTGAGAGAATGCGAGACCACAGGCGTTTAAACATTAAAGCATCCAAACAAAGGTCAGAGATCCTACACCTCTGCAGAAAATATTATGACATTAGCTTCTAAACTTGTCAACGGCAAAAGGACTGTCAAAAAGAAACAAAAAAAAAAAAAAACCAGTGAACTATAATTACGATTAAAAAAAGCCTGAAGGGCATAATTATGAGTGAGAATTAATACCGCAAGGATAGATTGATCTACAACTATTAATCAAAAGTTCCCATCCACATTATATAAGTTACAATTGTTTAGTGTGCCAAGGATTTCCTAAAAGCATGAAGATTTGGTAGTGCTACTAGATTTATCAGGAACAAAAATCACATAACGTATCCCAGTATGGAGTACAGGGCCGTAGAGGAGGAAAATAATAGTTTAGTTTTAAATATTGGTAAACGCATTTCCCAAAATTTAATGCTAAGGTGAGCAGAAAACTAGCATAAAGACACTAGCAATTTTAAAATAACCGCTTCTAATTACACAATTCAAGTTAAAAAGTAAAACCTGAAATAGTGCAATGGTAAAAGGATTTAATGATCTCATATAACGGACTAAACTAGTTTAGTGTACTCACGCCATTCTAGGATATCATTAGGTGATGGACAGGCCACAATCTGGGGAACTGGTTCCTGTAGATTGGCAGACCATTAAATTAGCATTTGAAGGGAGAAGGAAGGAAAGAGAGTACAAGAGAAGTTCTGCTAAAGAAAATCAACATCTGTAATATGATATCTCACAAAACAAGAATGCTATCCAATGTTTAAGTTGTAGAAATATAGAAATATGCCAAAAATAAAAAAAGAAAAAGGAAAAATAATGCAAAGAAAATGTAGGATATAACATTTGCATGAGTACAGCCAAAAGATAAAGTATATTTTATCTAATGGTTGATCTTGGAATGCTACGGACCTTCTCAATTACATATAGTAGTGTTTTTTTTTTTTACAAGATCTGAGCGAAACACAACAGTTTGATCTGATCATTGTCAATCCACAAAAGATAAATAAAATAAAATGAACTCAGTGTTAGCGTTTATTAAGAGAAACATAGAAACCAACAAGTACCATCTAGATAATATAAGAAAATCATAAATACATTGACACTTGCTTCAATAAAATTTGTTACGGCATCATGACAAGGAATCCATTCCTTCACTATAAAAAACTGCAACCAATGCGCTCTAGGTAGATAATAAACATGACTATTTTTTCCATGAAGCATGCCCTTCCTCTAAAAATAGCCGGACAAAAATAGACTTTAGGCACATAATTAAATCAGTGGTAAAGCTGCATACATTAATTCCCATCACTGCATTGTCGGAAGCACAAATGGTGTTATCACCCTTTTTTTATATAGTAACATAACAAATAAATCACAAGTAAACAGAAAAAAATTATATAGAATGATATGATTATATCTAACATATACTTATAGCAAAATTTTTAAGTTTTGTATGGCATTTGTTGGCAATTAATGGAAGCCATAGCAGCCACAATCACCTTTCCCAAATACTTGGGGGATCCAAAAATAGAGTGGGGAAAAAAATAATCACATCTGTGGCTCATAAAGCTCAGATCCCACCCATAGTTACATTCTATTCTTGGCATGCTCCTATATTTTATCACTCGACCTTTAAAAATCTCTACATCTCCCAAATGCTTTGCAAGTCCTAAATCTCCACCAATGAAAAACAAGCAGCCAAAATAAATATTTATACATCTCAAACCATAAAACAGATAGTTAAGAAAAGCAAATTATAAATTAAAAGTTGAACCAAACTTGATTTGCATAAAACGTTTTGCTGCATTAAGAACTTATTTAGAGTTCTAAAAGGCTTAGCGGTGGAGTGGAGAGGTATAAAAAATTTTAGGAACAATAAAATATTCATTAAGAGAATGCATAAAATCAAAGTATTGAAATATACTACAATGGAAGTTTTGCAAATAAGCTGATTAAGGCCCAAATTGTAGTTCTTGATGATTTGCATTGTAGATTGGATATTAAGATATGAGAAATACTCAAGGTGATATAATGAGGACCCAGCCGCTTTGATTAAATTAGATTCAACAATAATGAAAATAATAAAATCTTAATTAAAAATCAAGGCATTAAAGAAAGTTGAAATTATCATTTTGATAAATACTTTATTGAGATTTAAGGTAAAAATTTCTACAAAAGAGAAATAAAGAATTCATCATGAAGTATACAATAGATTGATCCATAAAAGAGAAATTGTATTAGCTTTAGCAGGAAAAGTAAAGGTAGAGATTTAGGTTCAAACGTGATACTTAACAGTAAATTAATCAGTTACAGGAGATGTTGGAGTAATTTGTTTAATAAAATCATAAAAACTGAGATAATGATAAATTATTGAAGGAAAAAAATATGTTGGTACCAATCTTTAAGATCAAAAAATATTTTAAGATTGTGAGAATTAAAAGTAAAATAATATTATGAGAAAGACAATGAAGTCATGAGAGAAGGTAAATGATGTATATGCATACCAAAAATGCATCAATATTAGAAAAAGAATTTGATTATTTGTTGAAAAACAGCTATTATAAAGGTGATTTTCATGCCAAAGAAATAAATAAAAAATATTGAAATCAAAGAAACGAAATTCATATGTGCTTACTGATCATAAAAAGGCTTTTGATCAAACATAAAAAGATTGAGATTGGTTGGTGTCCTGCATTAAAGGTGTATTAAAGGTGAAACACCAACAGGATTGAGTGGACAATGTGTATTCATATTACAGACTTCTAATAGCTGGGATAAGGAAAATGATAATAATGATAAATATGACAGTTACTATATTTACAAAAAAGAAATTAATATGTCACATGAAAGATTAACAAAAACAATTAATCAATTTATATTGAATACTAAGCTAAGATGAACATACCTTACAAAGGGCATGGTATTCCTTTTGAAGCCTCTTTACACAAGCTCTCTCCGCCATCAGCTAGCTGACTTGGCTTCTGAGAAGAAAGGAAAGGACATTACCATCTTAGCATGAAGGCCAAATCTCAGAAGGTTTTTGAAGTAAATGGCTAACACTAAGAAACAACATTGAGCATCGGCGAATTGTAAGCCCATTCAAAGTTAAACAGAAGTAAAATAACATGATTGCATTAAACAGACAATAAGAGCAATGTGATACACGATATTAGAAGAAACCGACATACTCTGTGCAGAGATAAAAGCCAAAATACTTCAATGAGCGTTTAAAACACATAAACATACAACAATTTAAGGTAGTATTTCTCAACAAATTAAAAAGCTCGGAGAAATCAAAACAAATTGAGAAGAAATAGCTTTCCTTATAACATGCAAAAGACCATGGCCCATATGAAAAACATGGCAAAGCAGATGCACAATATGTAATGTAATAATCAACCAAACACTTCAAAATTTTTTTTAAAAAAAGCACTACAATTACAGCATAATTTTGTCCAATGACTGTCTAACTATGCCAAACCAGGCTCAGTTAATTACAGAAATACCAAAGAATATATTTTCACAGAAGAGTTCTTTAGATGGATAAAAATTTGAGGATGAACAACAGTTAAGAACCCAAATTTCAATTTTTGGTCCGAACAATACAAAAGCAAAAGCTAGGACAATAAGTATAATCATCTTAACATTGATGCAAACTAATACTTAGCATAAGCATAATGATCGCACTAATTATTATTGTTACTGTTGTTAGTGCTACTAAAAATGTGCTCATAAAAATATTAATATCTCTAAAATGATTTGCAAAAATACTTTGGCTGTGAGCAAAATTTTTGTTATGATACAAAATGATGCACTCAATGCAAGGTACTCTAACCAAAGGAGACTTTTTGAAGTGGCTTATTTCCATGATCAAAATTCAAAAATCAAAACCATTAACTCCGGGTCTTGATACTAACAATAATAATAATAACAAGCAACATCAACAGCAACAACAATAATAAGAGTACCTCTAAGTTGAATGGCGAGATTATCTTGATTAAAATGAGTTCAAACAATTTATAATGACCAGTACCACACAACAACCAAAAAAGAACCAGTTATATTATATAAATAAAATAGGCCACAAGCTTGAGATTAGGGTATATCATAATAATCAAGTTGCAATCATTGTGACCTAAAGCTAGTGGTTCAAAGCTTAAATACAACCTCTTTTCTACATGGATTAAATGTTGCATGCACAAATCACTTCAAAAAAGCACGAGCTGCTTCTCAGAATTAGGGATGGAGCCAAGACATTTCCTTAGTAGGGGTAAAATTTGATAATTTTAAAAATAGCTACAGCATTTTTCATCCATGCTTTGGATATAATTTATGGTCTTTTGTTAGAATTTAAAAAATAAAATAAAGTATCTACTGATAAATTACAATTGAAAGCATCTAAATAGTTATTCATATATTATATTATATTATATTATATATTACTTGTAAATTTCATTTCAACTCAAGTTACATTGAATTGAATCAAATCTGAAGTTCAAATATTTTTTATCGATTTTAAATTTTAATTATTCAACTAAATTATAACGCAACTTGTAAGTTTTTGCATGACTTGAATCTTAAACAAAAATAATAATAAGAATAATTTAAAAAAAACTATAACACTCTTAAAATATAGTTCTCCTAAAATTAATCTGATATCTTAAATTTACTAGTAAGGAAATTGTTCAACTCCCTAAGAAAGGCTTCCATTTTTTTTTTTTTTTTTGCATTTATACTATTTGAAACTTATTTTTACATAACAAAGTTGCATCTCAAAGTTGTATCTAACCAAGGGCTATTAAAAACAATTATGAAACATTTTTTAAACTTATTTTTTTATTCAAAAGCATCAAACCACATGAGGCAAAGCACCTTTATTTATCCAAAGCATGGCAAGGTATCATTTTTTAGAAAATTCCAAAAATATTTAAAATTTCATGGAATGGTATATAGCATTATTCATGAAGCAATAGTGCCTTCCTGGGGAACAGAAAATTAATGCTTTATGACAGACAGAAAACTAACACCTAAATAAAACTTCTTGTAAGGATAAATATTGAATAATAATTAGAGTCATCAAGATGCCTCCTCAGTTTCAATGATGACCCTTCTTTTTCTCTACTTTTCATTTAGGCTTTTACTTAGTCTAGTGATAAGAAATCTTTATGTACCAATGGAGGAAGCCTAAAGTAAGAAACAAAGCACCAGCCACAAACGTAAGGGTGCTAATGATATAGTAAGGGGTTGGGAGCTCCATCGATGAAGAAAAAGGAGCAGAGTGCTAGTGCATATACACTTTGCAAAATAGAAATTCATCAAAAAACTAAAATTTTACTAATCTATTTTAGATAGGGGCGTGCATTATTTGGTTAAAACAAAAAAACCTAACCAAACTGAGCTCATTTTGTTGATTTGTTTCGGTTTTAAATGAAAATTTTGATTTTTTGTTTTAAAAATTTTAATATTCGATTTCAGCTTGGTTTTAATATCCATTAAACCAAAGAAACACAAAAACTTAAAAATATTAAGATTAGGAAACTAAATTCATTTGAATAAAATAAATTAAGCATATGATATGTTTGATTTATTTTAGTTTGAATTTTTTTATTTTAACAAGAATATAAGGAGATAAGAAAGAAAAATGAAATTTTTAATATGAAATAAAACCATAAGTTATAAATTTATTTGGTTTGCTCCAAATCAAACTGATTGACCGATTTTTAAAGTCAGTTTGGTTTAGATTGATTTCAGACAAAGATTAGTCTGTTTGATTTTTAGAATTTTGGAATTTTATTTTATTTGCTAGATCAAACCAAATTAATTGATTACACACCCCTAATTTCATGCCAAACTAGTAGGGGCACAGACCTCGATTGCCTCCATCATGAATTGATTTGATAATAATTGTAAACTTCAAGCATTATGTATTTTTTCGTAAAACGTACAAACTACAATCAAGAGCTAAGGTTGCACCAAAAGCCTCATATAGGTGGTTCCATGCAATTAGGATAGGACTTTTGTAAAAATTAAACATGTTCAATGATAAGCTAGCCGACAATATAAGAGAAGTTAGCAACCCGCCTACTTTTGTCGTAGATAATTAATTGGCTTGCCAAGAAAAACTTCGAAAGGTGCAACATAAAACAGAGTACTTCAACAAGCACAAAAAGATGGGTTGCTAACTTAATTTGAAGATAAGATAGCAACCAAAATTATTTATTATAATGACAATAGTCATTGTGCAAATTATGAGTAAGTTGGCATGCATATCATGCCAAAAAATAAACAAATAAATAAACTCATGACAATGAGGGAAAGTAATTTAGGTTTTCATTCATCAACTACAGACCCTATATGAACGATTAGATGCCTGACAATCCACAAAAGCAAGCCACTATAAGCATCATTATGTCAACGCACATTGACAGCAAGTCAATTGTTGCTGAAGCTTAGAAGCTTAAAGGATTAAAATTAAACATACTCGCTCATTGTGAACAATGAAACATGGTTTTAATTATTAATGTACCATTTAAATGCACAAAAAATAACAACTAAGCCTATGCCATATTTTGGGGATTGATGGTGAGAAGAGAAGAGGATAATAAAGGCGTGGAAGAAATTAAGTTCAGCATGTTAATTTTGCAAAATTCAACATGTTAACTTTGTAAAATTAACTTAATCACACAAATTTGGAGCAGTGCTCAATTACCTCTATTGTAATTTGGAGGCTTGAGGTTAAAGTCATTAAAACAAGCACTTAGTAAAACTAGAGGTGAGTCAGATGACTGTTACATCAGCCTATCCTTGGCTTTACATTGGCGGGAGCTCAATGCACCAGGTAGGTCATTTTTTATGTTTACTTGTATACTGGAGGAGGGAAAGTAGACTTATTTACAAGGAAACTGGCAAATCTAATTGTTATTCCATATGTATACAATATTTGGTTAAATAATGGGGGCTAATGGAGATAGCTTCCAAATTTCTTATCATGAAATTTGCTCCTAATATCAATGTTTTTAAAGTATAAAGCGCAATGCATTGCGCATAACTTTAAACAAAATGCTGATAGGTTATATAAAACTATTAATGTATAAACACATTCATTAACAATTATAAAATATAAATTATGACTTAAAAAGTTGATATAAAATAAAAAGAAATATGGTACAATACTTAACTTGAAGGAAAATATTAAGGGTGAACCTATAAATTAAAATTTTGAACTTTAATAGTTTGTTGCAATAATTAAAAATTTAAGAATTGCAAAAAATAAAAACTACAAATTACTACAGTGCTTTGAAGCACGCTTCAACAAAGTGAAGCAGTCGTGACATGCTTTCCTTGCTTTACTCCTGAAGCGAGCTTTTAATAACTGTGCCTAAGATACAACAAGATCAAAGTTGTACAGGACAATGCACATAACCAGAAAGTGTGGTTCTTAAAATAAACCATAGAATAAATAAGAAGCAAATAAAGGCAAATACTCTAGCCAATATAGCTTATTCTTGAAAAATTAAGCATTGATGCGTCCTCAAGAAAGTTCTATCATCTGCCACAAATCTCAAGATATTTTTTTTAGCAAAAAACCTTTCAAATTCAAATTCCAAAATCATCAAAGGGCTCAAATTCAACAAGTTTATAGTCAAACTGACCGTCTCGACAAGACAAACCCGGTGATACTAAAATTGATTTGATCTGAGTCTAATTAAACCCAGATCAAGTAATTAAATCACTTTTGAAAGTTTTGGATTGTCAATGGAAAGATCAAAGTAACTCCAAATTTGAAATATGTATATTCAAATCGAGCGTCTCGACGACAGAAATCTAACGAGCTAAGCTTGCTTAACTCTAGGGTTATTAAGGCCCTTAAATTATTAAGAAAATCCATTTGATCAATAGGGATCAATATGAACAATCTGATCAGATGATTGGAAAGTTATTGTCAAAATACCAAAATACCAAAATGCCCCTACACCAGAGGCTATAAATAAATCCCCTTTGTTCACTTGAGAGGAGAGGAGAAGCGGTAGAATTTCAGTGTTGTTCTGAACTGAAGTCCCCGCAATAACTTTTGGACCACCGTCAACCACTGCTTGTCAACCACCCCTGCTCACTGTTGTCGGCAACCTCTGCTTGAAAAATTCGTATCACAAATATGACCACAACATATAATATTGTATTGGAGATCTTTAGCGATAACTTCCGGCCTTAGTAGTCGTTGACCACGATCGGTCACCCCTGCTTGCCGTCATGCGCGATCCCTGCTTGCTAATGTCGTATTGCAAATACAGTCGTAACATATAATGTCATATTGAAGACTCGACGACAATTCCAACATCTGTAGCCGCTGACCACCGTCGACCACTGTCAGTCGTCACCATCTGCCATCGATGATGACCACCGGTCACTGGAGACCACTGCTTACGACCTTCGTAGCCAGAATATGGTGGTTGTACCTAACACTTGTATCTTTCTTTAAGTTGTATACTGACAAATGTAGTGTCTGGTGTAGAATTGTAACCCCATTCAATGAGGAGGGGTTCATCCACCAACTACGGATTATGTGATCAATTGACGCTATTACAACTTTCAACTACTATGTTTATGGTTAATTCACATAATTTGTCATCAATTACTCTTATGAGACCAATTGCTACTATAGTAATCACGAACTACTACCAATGTGACCAGCTGACGATATAGCAGTCACTAAATATAACATATATGAAAATTATTACTATTATTGCAATCACCATCTATGATCTATATAATTAACTAATGATATTGCAGTTACCAACTACGACCTATATAATTAGTTACTACTGCAATAGCTTCCAACTACGGCTTATGAGGCCAGCAGACGCTATTGCAGTCACCAAATACGACATATGTGACCAATTGACGATGTTGAAATCACCAAGTATAACATATACGATCAACTATTATTGTTAAAGCTTTCAATTACGAATTTTGTGACAAATTGATATTATTGCAATCGCCAAATATGATCTTTGTGACCAACTGACGATATTGCAACTTCCAACCACGACCTTTGAAGCCAACAATTGCCTGTGCAACAATCAACTACGGCTTATGTGATCGACTACAATTGTTAAAGATTCTAACTGCAGCCGCTATGACCAACTGTCATTATTGTAGCCACCAAATACAGTATTCTTGATCAATTATATTTGTTGTAGCACAATTACAGTTATTAATTGAACTACTATTGTGCATCTCTAATTATCATATTTGTTATTCCATCTTCTCTAATTCATGAAAAGAGTGAACATATCTATTTACAAACATAGTGATTTACTTCGACTAGACTAGGTCCTGTGGTTGTGGTCGTATTTGTGATGGATCTTAGTGCAATGCTAAGACATTAAAATATTACACTACCAATGCAAATTTTTAAGTGCGTAAGAAACATTTATCTCATTTTTCATAATCATAATTTAATTTCAATCCCAGAATCCACCGTCATCTGAAGGGTACAGAATGGTACTTCGTGTTTCTCGCTTGCTGCCGTGATGGCAAAAGGCAGAAAACTCCTATGAATTATGGTCAGCTAGAACATCACCATACAAACTACTCACGCAAAAAACTACGAACTGCTTAACAATTGAGATGTGAAAAATACCACTAAAGAAAACTAATAAAGGACTCAGATATCTGATAAATATAATCTTTTTAAAAGCCTACAAACAAACAGTTGGATCCATAATGAAATTCCTTTCTCGCGTGGAATAGATCCGTCAATCCATCAACAAGTACATGTATCATCAAAAGACATAAAAAAATACTAAAAAAAAACGCATATAAATAAAAAATCGGAGAGGAAAACTAGCGCACGATGACGAGCCGAGGCAGCAGAGAGAGCGGTCACTGGTGCCTACCGCCAACGATCCGTATAAAACTAGGCGATTCAGAGAATTTTAGGGTTAGAGAACTTCAGAAACTGCGAAGTGCAGGCGATCGCGAGTCCAAACGGAGAAGGGAGACCGACTGGGAAGAGAGGGTAGCGTTCCGCGTCGGCCTGGGCCACTTGCCTGGTTCTCGGCTCCTCTATCGCGCTCACATTGGTTTGGTCGTGGCACGCGTTAAAAACCGCCCAGGTGCTCGATTTGCAAATAGCAATTTTTCTTATTCTCTTTTTGTAATTATCCCAAATTATAAGGGGATGGATAATAATATGCATTTAAAAAGTTAGTAAGAAGGAAATTTACTATATTTAAAATATTTTATTTTATTTTATTATTTATATAATAAATTAAATTAAGCCCCGATAACAGTGGCCGATAGTAGTTGGCACTGGGCTAGGTTATTAGTAGGGGGCAACAGACGATTGATAGTGGCTATGTGGAGCTGGCAAACAACAAGTAGCAACGACAGGCATGGGACGGCTAGCCGCTATGAAGAATTGGGAATTTGACACAATTTAGTAAAAAATATTCTAATTTATTAATTTTAAAAGAGTGAATTTTGAAAAGATCACTCACTTACTTTCATTCCTTTTTCATTTAAGAAAATAATTAATAGATCATATTTTTCTTATTAATGAGTGAGGGATCATTTAATGCTAAGATAATGAACACTTTGTTAATTAACTTGAATATTGTTGTATGTAATAGTTTTGCATAGTTGATTGAGAAATGAATAAAAATTAATGGAATGATGTTGTAACCTCAAAAGAATATTTTTGTTAGTCCTAATTATTAGTATGGGCAAATCAAGACACAACCTCAAATCATGTTCATATTAGCACTCCAAGCATTAATTATAAAAAGGAAACTTCTTCCCTTCTCCATCTTTAAACATATTTAAGAAAACACTTCTTGCAAATATACTCCAAAAAGTTGGCTTAAGATCTTAGATTAGTTATAAACCTTAAGGCGTGTTTATGTTGATGTTTTTGTGAGTAATTGTACTCGAAGGTATATTGACTAAATTATTAATTTTCTAAGGAACTTTATCAATAATATAAGTTTAATAACAAACTTTCAAAAGAACTGCAACTCTACAAAGAGTTTCTAATTAAACATTCGTATAATCAGAACCTTAAAATGACAATAACAATTTAGATAAACTAATTTTTTTTATTTTACTTTAGGAAACACTTTGTAGCTTTTACATCTTAATCAATTTGTGATTGGTCTCAGAGGGACTCAATTTGACATTTTACATCATTATTTATTAACATTAAAGTAATATTTTAATAAATTGCTTAGGATTGATTAAAAAAAATATGGTGAGTTTTTCTTAGTTGTTTTTGTCATAATATAAGTTCATAGGGTGATTCCTCTAACTAATAACCTACTAAATCTAATTTCATAGAAAAAATCTATCAAAACTCTTAATTACAAAATAAGTCATTTAAAAAATTTAGGGTTAAAAATGAAAAAAATTCTAGAAGGTAATAAAAAAGCCTTAAAAAGTATCTAGTGGTGGGCGTGATCCCCATTAAAAAGTCTCTATAAGGGAAAATAATAGATATAAACTTTGTTTATTAAGAAAATTTGATTCCTGTTTGTTGTCATATATCCTTTTTTTATCCCTCTCCTCTTCGAATCATTTATACGATTCGGAAGGGAGAATTATTCAAATAAAAAAATAATTAGATGACATATAAATAACAAGCTAGTGACTCCGAGTTCCTTTAAAAATAACCAAAAACACTAAAGAAAAGCCACCTTAGGTTACGAGTCATTCATTAAAATCACTATGAATGTTGAGCTCTCCCTCTAAGCCCTAGCTCAAAAAACCAAATCAGTCAGGAAACTAATAGCCTCATGCTTATTCGGCGGGTTCAATATTTGATGAATGGGTTGAAGCCACATTGATCTAAAGAACGAGAAAATCCTTTGGTTCTCGTTACCTAGATCGCGAAGGCCATATCCATAAAGGATAACCTTCATTTTCGTGAAGGTTTTTCTTCATGAAAAATTTCTTTGTGTTTGTGTTGCGTAATGGATGATGACTACGACTTCATCAAACCCCAGATCCTATGTGAGAACCCTTGGACGAATCTAATTTGTTATTGAATGCATATGGTTTTATTTGTTTGTGTTTTTTGCATGAAACTTTGCACATGTAATCACTTCATTTTGATCGACCGATTAACCACCAAGGTCCGATCAATCGATCACATTGGCTTCGATCGGCCACAAAGGTCCGATCAACCGCTCACTTCGGTTCGATTGGCCACCCCGGCCCGATCAACCGATCAATTAAGTTTGATCGGCCACCAAGGTATGATCAACCATCCACTTTGTTTTGATCGGCAATCCCGACTCGATCGACAAATAAAATTAGTCTGATCAGCTACAAGGTCCGATCAACTATTCACTTTGGTTTGATCGGCAACTAAGACTTGATCACAAAACCAATCATTTTGGTTCAATCGACCACTAAGGTTTGATCATCCTTTCAGTTCAATCAGCCGCCAAGGCCCGACACCAAACCAATCCTCCAGCTTGATCGACCACCAAGGTCCGATCACAAAACCAATCACTTTGGTTTGATCGACCACCAGACCCAATAAACCAATCACTTTGACCAGTCGACCACCCCGATTTGACCAAACTTTTTTGGCCATAGTACTCGATTGACCTCTTCGGTCTATCCAACTGGTCAAACAACTCACTTCACTTGCATGTTGCATTTGCAAGTGTTTGCACATTGATTACAAGACATTGTTAATTTCTTGGATTCATGTGCATGCACATAAAAAAAAACATCTTTAGAATGATGCTTAAAGTATCAAACTCATTGCATGAAAAACTGAATTTTGTCTTTGGCATTTGCAGTATCACCGCACACATACGTGTGCGGCTCAATACTTATAAAACTTTGATGAGGGTGGCTAGCAATGCTAACCCGTCAATGTGTGAATCTCTTAAATGAAGAGCACACCGCCTCACCTCTTATGACATCACACTTGAATGCCATAAGCTTTCACATTGCGTGCTCAATTCAAGTCACACTTTAAAAGTCATTGAACCCATTGAGTGTATAATGTGTGCCCACCAGATTGTGTTTTGTTTGCATGATTGCATGAGCATCACCTTATGTGCCTTGATAGCAAATTAAACTTGTTAGGAGAGTGACCTCGTGTTGATTGTGATGCTTTAATGAGAGCATTATTTTTTAGGTAAATCTCGGTGAGTAATACGAGTTATTGCATCGGGATCAACATAAGTATGACTGTGCTAAGGTTCTAAGGTTAGCAAAGCCTCCAACTTAGCCTCCTGATACTTATTATGCATGATCACTAAGAGAGAGAGAATAATTGTTGGTATTTGTATTCTTTTATAGCAACTACTAACTTTTTTTATTATAATACATAATAATAATCTTATATTAACAACTATATAGATGGATTACTTTATTTATAGCAAGAACATTGTAGAAAGGTTTGGAAGGGATCAGGAGCAAATGCTAGTTCCTTGCAACAAGGTTACGACCAGATTCTAGAGCTATCGCGCGTAGAGTGGAAGAATCAACACACATTAATTATACGACATTTGATTGACCAGGTCGACATGATTTTGAAACTGGGCTATCTCATAGCATAGATGGCAAACCACAAGCCCCCCCGTAGATCAACTTGTGATGCTCCGTGTTGGTCATCTTTCTCTGCTACGAGGAGATCAACAACAAATGCTCCAAGGAGATCTTCGGTTAACAAAATACGAAGATCGTTGTTTCAAGAAACATAATAACAACAATATCCAAAGACATCTGCTTATCCTGCCCAATCTATGCAACACCCTCTGAATATACAGTACCATCAGCATATGCAGTACCATCATTTGACTTGCAGTGAATTAATACTGTTGGTGACTTGGATTTTAATTTTTAAAACATTTCCATGCTTGCACCTATTTCTAATGCAGGCATGGATTTTGGTACACCACAATTTTGTTCTTCACCAAATCTCAATGAAGAAATTTACTAGATGCCGCAAGATGCTACAAATAACACAACTGAAAGTGATGATATTAAAGAAAAGTTTCAAGAACATCAGTTGTGTTATCAGTCATTGTAACCATAGTCGATATACACCGAGCTCAAACGCTATTCCACATCGACATAGAAGATAATATTTTTTTGTAAATAATATGTTAGTAGATTTAATTTATTCAATTTGTTCAATTAATTAATTTGTTTAATCTTGTAAATTTCAAATACAAAATAAATTTTAGGAATTTGAAATTTTCTTAGTTTATTAAATTTGTTCAAATTTATTTTTAAAATTAATTAAAAAGTAATTATAATTTATTAATTAATGTCAAAATTAATTTTAATAATTTTGCTAGAGTAAATAATAATAATATTTATAATAATATTTAATATATCATCTAATAATAATAATATTATTATTATATATAATAAAGATTAAAAAAAATAAAAAAGAGTAAACGCCTGTGGGGGCGCATACTTTAAACATATGCTCTCCTCTTAGAGACAAATTTCCTCCAAATTATTATTATTATTTTTTTTGCTCTTTTAACTAGCTGCTACGAATCATATGCTCCTATTCATAATTTGCCTCGATAGGATATGGTTTGATTTATATACTTGTAACACATATATGATCAAATTTATACTATTAATAAAACTTATACCCTCATAAGTATTCATAATATTTATATCGTCAACATGTGGATGTTACCACTATCATTATCATTAGATCAACTTAGGGGCTTATCACATTCCTACAATTTCATTTTATTAAAAATTTGTTCATTTATACATGACATTAAATTTTAAGGATTGTGCAACTTCTAAAACCCTTAGTTCAATATTGAGCTTCAACAATATTCATATATGGTTTAGAATCAATTAGATTATATTATTCTAAACCACGATCACCTGTCTTAGAAAAACCATACTTTTTTATGCTGTCATCACTCTTTGGAAACCATACTTACTTATGCTATAATTAATTTGCCTAAACATTTCAATATATATATTTTTTATTTAGATGAACATCTAAAGCCACTTTTCACTTTGAAATGCCTATATTTGTCCAAGACCTATTCAAGTGAATTACATTTACAAAGATATAACTATAAGAAAAAAATTTAAGTAACTTAAGTATGCCAAACCTACATATTCACTCATTCAGGTTTTTATAGGTCAAATTAACTCAGAAAATTTGGTTGAAAAAATCAAATCCTTTCTTAGTGGGTCAAACGTATTAAAAATCTCTAAATTTAACAAGTCATATTTGTGCAACTAATTTTATGCATTTTTGCAAATTAGTGTATGATATTGTTCAATTAGTTATACTATATCATTAGGTGTTGATACCTTCTTATTTGGATACCTAAATTCGGTTAGATAATTGATGAATTAAGTCACTCACACATCATGTTTTGAGCTCCATAATGACTAGCATGCATCTGTGCATTACTAGACTTGATTTAACACATAAACCAGCTAATAGATCTAGTCCTTAGATCTTTGATTGACATATGATCATAATTGATAGGCTATTAATATCAATAATTGTTCATTACATAAAGATAATTACATCTATCATAATCAAATCTCATATAAGACATGGGGAGAAAAGAAACACAAAGGGAAGAATAGAAAAAGAACAGCTTAACTTATAAAAGAAAAGCAAAATAGAAGAAAATCAATAAAAGTATAAATAATAAAAATACAACTATATTAGCAAAAATCAAATAAAATTATTTGGCGACCTGGATACTGACCTATACAGTTAGGATTTCACCAAATATCTGTTAGATTCCTATCACATAAACCCTTCAAAAGTTAGGTACATTTTCACATTCCCCCACATCTAAAGCAAATGGACCTCCACCTACAAACTACATGCTCTCCAAAACCAAAACATAATGCTAGGCACGTCTGCCACGCGGACAACAAAACCCCTTCCCTCCTTATTTAAACCAAACCACCACAACCCTGCTTCCCGCCAAGCTGCAACTCTGCTTTCCCCAACCACAAAGCAGAGGAGCCAGCCAGCCAGCCAGCCATGCCATCCTTCAGCTCCTATGGCATCATCTCAGAGCAAGACCAACTCGGCTCCGGCCGACGCAAGTCCCGTAATCGCCTCGCCATCATATCCCTCTCATCCATTGTCCTCATTGCCATTATCACTGTCGCCATCCTCGCTAGCAATCACGGCTCCGACACAGCTGCTGCTGCCGTCACCTCCGACTCTTCCCTCCAGGCATCAGTCAAAGCCATGTGCTCCACCACCCTCTATCCCGACTCATGCTACACCTCCCTCGTGCCGGTCGGTCGTCACCAACTCCGCCTCCCTCGATCCCACCGCGCTCTTCCGCATAGCCGTTCAAGCAGCAAAAAACGCGATTTCAATCTCCTCAAAGCTTTTCGACGATCCAAAAATCAAGGAAGGGATCAAATCCTTCACAATTTCTTCGATCTCCGACTGCAGTCAACTCCTCTCGCTGGCTGCGGCCCACATCGAAGACTGCACAGCCTCTCCTGCTAACTTCACTTCGGACAGCTTTGTCGACGATCTCAAGACATGGCTGAGCGCCGCCATCACTGATCAAGACACCTGCTTGGACGGATTAGGAAATGATTTGGGGCAGCTCAAGGGGAATATCGCGGAGGCAATGAAGAACTCGACGGAAATCACAAGCAACAGCCTTTCCATTTTAAACCAAATCGCCGATTTTGTCGGCTCCGTTGATCTTCGGCGGCGGCGGCGTTTGATGAATTGGATGTCAAATGCTGACCGGAGGGTGTTAAAGAGCTCCGGTGATTTGAAGTACAATGCAAATGTGGTGGTGGCGCGAGACGGGTCAGGGAAATACAAGAGCATAACAGCGGCGCTGGCCGAGGCGCCGAAGAAGAGCAGCAAGAAGTTTGTGATATATGTGAAGAAGGGAGTGTACTATGAAAACGTGAGGGTTGAGCAGAACATGTGGAATGTTGTTATTGTTGGCGATGGGATGGACGCAACAATGGTGTCCGGCAGACTGAATTTCGTCGACGGGACGCCAACTTTCTCCTCTGCAACTTTCGGTAATCTATCGATTTTATCTAAATTATCAGATATTCGTAGCATAAACTATATCATAATTCATAAGTGCTTTAAATGAACCTGAAATTAAAGTAGACTCATCCATGGTTTCTTCGCCCAATGCAGCGGTTTTCGGCAAGGGTTTCATCGCGATAGACATGGCGTTCCAGAACACAGCCGGGGCCATAAAACAGCAGGCCGTCGCCGTCCTCGCCAGCGCCGATCTCGTCACCTTCTACCGCTGCAAATTCGACGGCTATCAAGACACTCTCTACGCCCATTCCCTCCGCCAATTCTACCGCGAATGCAACATCTTCGGAACCGTCGATTTCATCTTCGGCAACGCCGCCTCCCTATTCCAATCCTGCAACATTCTCCCTCGACTCCCTCTCCACGGCCAACAGGACACCATCACCGCGCAGGGTAAGATTGATCCCAACCAGAACACCGGAATCTCAATCCACAACTGCACCATTTGGCCTGCGGAGAACTTGACCTCCGTTTCTGTTTACCTCGGACGGCCGTGGAAGCCGTATTCGACCACGGTGTTTATGCGGTCGACGATGGCTGGCATTATTAATCCGGCGGGGTGGTTGCCGTGGCTGGGGACGGGGACTCCGGTGCCGGATACGATTTTTTATTCGGAGTATCAGAATTTTGGGCCGGGAGCGAGCTTGAAGAATAGGGTTAAGTGGAAGGGATTGCGGGTGATGGATTCGAAGCAGGCTGCGAAGTTTACGCTTCCTGGATTTATAAAAGGGAGTTCTTGGATTCCTAAAACCGGCATT